GCTAACAGTTCACCTAATCTGTTGTGGTTTAGCTGTGCTTAGTAGAGAAAAATAAACATTATTATCCATCGAATTGGGTCTATCTATCGCTATTTTACATAATCCGTTGGAGACGACTCCAAAATGAGTTTATAATCAACAGTGCCTAGTATTACAGTCCAGTATGTTTCTTTCGCCATGACGTTATGAATAGGTTAACCCCTGTTCACTCGATAAGAACGAACGAATTTTTGAGGTAGCAAAGTGAGAAGTGCAGAAGCCATAATATGTGCCGCGGGGCAACGAGGGGGAAAAGGAGGGCAACAAAAAAAGGGCAGAAGGGGCAGTAAACGGCAGGAGAAAAAGGGAGGAGGAAAAGGGGAAGGGACGCGGAAGGAAAAGGGAAGGTTATCAAGGAAATAAGGGCACAGGAGGGAAATGGCAGGAAGGGTGGAGGAGGAGAAGGAAGGAGGTGCAGGAGGAAGGGAAAAGGAGGAAAAATGGAAGGAAAAAAGGTAAATTATTTCGAAAATTATTAATTTCATTATTAAAATTCAGTATTAATTTAAATTTCAGTAATTTCAGTTACGTGAGGTGAATTTAGACGATGGCTTGGAGTGGTCCACCAATTGACCACTGCCGAAATTTTAAAGGCACTATTATCACCATCTAATGGATGGTGTTTTCTGTTGTAGCTTGTGGTTACTTTAATAGGGTAGCCCCTACTATTTGATGCTTGGAGGAAGTAAACATTGTTGTCAATGCCAGCTCTTCTGCTGATAATAAGGAGACCTGTTTAACCACACCAGGACATACAACATACCTATTATCTGTAGAGTGAGTTGTGGGTCACGTACAATGGGCTGGACACTGCTATTCGTGGTGTTTTGGATGGTAATAGTTACACGTGTGCATGCGTGTATTGTGTCACCTATTGGATGGGGTCTGATAAGAAAGACAGATTGATAATCACGAGGCACCCCTCATTGCAATGACACGACACCTGTATTTACTCAAAGGTTACTTTCCTTGATTACCTCAATAAATCTCGCACCAGCTAGGCTGAAGATGCATATGGTAGTAGTAAAGGAAGGCAGCGGGTTAGAATGAAAAAAATATAGCAAAATCAGCTCTAGCAGTGGGATTCGAACCACCTTGATTTGTACGGGAAAGTGCACTACCATGTTGCTTAATGTGCAGGAGTGAGCTTTGTTCCTGTTGTTGCTCTTTCCGTGTGGTCTCCCCTCATTTGCCATCTTTCTCCACCGGTATATCTGGTGTGGGTTGGTGCAATATACGTCGTACATGCACATGTAATGCAGGCCTCTTGGAAGAGAGGGTGTGAAAGGAACGCGTGACCCACGCGGTGGTATGAGCTTGGCTGACACCCCTGGGAATTACTAGTTTCACAATTTGGCTCTCGCGTGGGGAAAGCAAATTAAAAAAATGGGGAATTGCGTGAGTCTCCCTTGAAAGAGCTAACTCAGTATTGTGCATACGTGGGGACCGTCTCTTAGTGTCCATACATACGCTCGGTCATAGCTTAGTTCTTTATGAGTTTTTCTCGTTAGTATGTATCTCTAACAGGGCCCAAAGGCCTTTTATGTGTTAGGAACTTGGGTTTAGGAATTGCATATCTCGACTTTTCAGGGCTCTAGACAAATTCTCGAAATCATATAGCTAGTTACATATGTAGGAACAAAGCCCAAATTAGGGTACATTGATGCCAATATCTACATAATAAGTATTATAGTTGTTAGGTCTGGATTTTGTAGTATGTGTGGGCTATCCTAGAAGCCTGAAGAATCAGTAGTATGCAGTTGTCCCCCCTCCACAGATAGCGACACAGTGGCACAGAGTAACAACTCACTAGTCATACAGACAAGAACGACCAACTGGTAGCTTCCTATACTGGGACATGGATTCCCCTTATCTCACAGACTGGATTCCTAGGACTACATAGTGAGGATATGGTTTTGGCTCTCGTAAGCTTTTCCTGAGAGGAGAGTGCCCGCACAGTGAACACACAGCAGCTCAGTCTGTTACTGTTTACTACCTACCTACAGGATACAATACATATCTGGGGACTTGGTACTGGTGAGCAGTGTGCCGGTCTATATATAGGACATTGTGGGAAAATGCCATGGGCGCTCAATTCTAGAGCAAGTTAGTATATGTATGGTTTGGAAGTGTGATCGTCGGCCAAAAGTATGAACACTGTTCCCTTGGTGACCTCAAACCCATAATATGAGAGCACATTCTGTACGTACAATCCTTCTACCTTACAATACTGTCTTACGAATACAGTGTCCTTAGGACCGAGTTTTGCATCAGACGCTGCTTCTTCCCCTTGGAGTGGAGGAGTGGAGTTGCTAGTTGTATGAGCTGTTCTTCCCTCACTCCCTCCCTCTCTTCCTTCCTTTCTTCCTTTAGAGCTTTTGTGTCTCCTTTGTCCCTTCCCCTTCTCTACCTCTCCCTCATCCGTTGCCTCCTTACACATTGGCCAACAATCACATTCCAAAACCATAAAATATCTTAACATAGAGTAAAATTAATTGCTCGCGACATTTTTCTCACAAGTCATCCGTATGCACTACTACATATTCATTCGCAACTAGCTTCATGTACCCTCGCTTCATGTACCCTCGCTTCATGTACCCTCGCACGCACTGCTGGAGTCGCTGTACATGTTTATCTATGGGCAGTGAGTGTATTCAACCTGTGCTGCTGGTGTATCGTAAAGAACATGGCATATTCATGAAGCAACCTGATGCCCAATTGTCTGGAGTTGTGTGCGTAAAACGTGAATGTGGTATAATGTTGTATCCAGGCAATAATTATGCTATTGCCTATTGCTAGATTTTACAGATGTTGTTTGAAGGTGGATTTCTCAATGGCCTAATGCAATGTTGTCTGCACTCTGTCTGTGTGTGGGGGGGCAAACAGTCTTATCTAACACATTAGATCTCCCCACAGGACACTTTGGGTGCTCTGAACAATTTCCTTCATATCGTTCCTTGCCAGCAATGCACTTAGCCAATTACACACAGATTTTCATAGTATGACATGGGTACAAGTGAAATTTGAATTAAAACATGTTTCGTAAGTCTCTCGGTACTCTGCTAGCCTAGCATTCCGTAATAATAATATGGTGAGATAGAGAGGTGGCGGTGTGTGTATTAGGGTAGGGTGGAAATGTATGGTCTTAGAAGGGTCCTCGTAGTAACCTCTACTCTTCCAAACTCTATATCATCCATTGAACAGTGCAAAAATCACATGAGTCCCACGATTACATGGAGCTATTAGTTACTCTAAGAAGGTTGGCTTGCCTGGCTGGCTGGCTCTTTTTGATTGTTACGGAATATCACATGCTCTAGTAGCTTACTAGATGAAGATGTTTCACTGACTCAAGAGCAATTGTAGAGTAAGTAGTTCTAATTGGTCATTTAGTCATGCTGTCTCCAAACATCAAAGTGTGTCATATGATATTAGCTGAAAAGCTGTTTGCAGCAAAAGTTGTGCAATTGAATTGGGCCCCAGAGCTATAATAAAAGACAGATGCTGTCAGTAGGGGGCAAAGTGGTTCATAGGGCTAAGCTGCCAAGGTGAAGCCTGGGGCAGACTATGGCGTCATGTTGTTGAATCCTCACTAGAGGAACTATCTGCACACACAGATGCCTCGTAGCTAGACTCTTGCACATTCTAGTCGGCACGCAACCACCATTAACTAAATGCTAGCTGACACTCTCTAGGTTACTTATTGGCAAAATAATAGGCAAGGAAAGGGAAGCTGGAAGGTTTTAAAGAGAAAACCTCAGTAGTACACTGGAATTTCAGGAAGAAATTGAGAATTGCTCGTTCTGTGTATCTACTTCCATATACAAAATTCACAGAGAGTCAGGTCTGAAACGCAAATTGGGGGAAAGGTTCTCAAAACTCTCCTTCTCTAAAGATATTCAGGGTTCAGACTCTTGCGTGGAGGAAAGCTCTTTAATGAAGCTATTTCCCAGAGTGCATTCCAGGGCCCTGTGCTCTTTGAAAGGTGATAGGCCTGAGCCAGGGAATCAAAGACTATGGCCCTGGTGGGGGGTCACACTATACCTACTAACCTCCCCAGCTTTTCTTTTTATACACACAAATGGTCAGTCCATTAGTGAAGGTACCACAGTGGTGCTAATACTTCATTGGAAATAGGTGTATGTTAATATGATATACAGTGGTCTCGGTGGGCAATTTCTAGTTTTCGTGATCATTTACCTCTGCCGTCAAGGTAGCCAATACCTACACAACTGTAGTGCAGTAGGCACTTTAGCATGGATAGTGGTGTTGTATTGCAAGGACTGAAATGTGCAAGAAGCTGCATGGTAATCTTCGTTCCATTCATATGTGGTCTATAGCTGCATACAAGGCACCATGCAGAATAATATGGTTACACACCTCATCAGTAGGCCCAAAACTGTTGTTTATGCCTTTAGCTGACCCACAGCAGTAGTTTAGCTTTGCCTTTTATCAGTGTCCACGTCACAGTGTTTTGTACAGCTTGCTATGGTTGGGTGGGCTATAGCAAGCTGACTCAGCTTAGCTTACTATGATTGTTTTTCCCTGACGTAGAGAGCGGCACATTTGAAAACAGTTGACGTATGTGCATCTGGGCTATATTCACTGGCCTATCAAACGACACACTTTTGCAAACAGGCCATGAATGCATAATTAATTGTTTACTGGCAGACAAGGGGTTTACTCAGCCGTCCTAAACATAGAGAATTGTGTATACAGTGGAACCTCCAACAGAGGACATGATGAAACCAGTTTTGTTGTTCAGACCACCTTACGAACCCTTGACATGCTGGGCCTATGGAAGTACATGTATAGTGGCCAATATAAGTTATTCCACTGCGGCTATAAAACGCCACTGTACATATGTTTGATAGATGTCTGTGGTAGGTGGACACGTATGTGCCGCACGCATCAGTGGTCTAGCACACGTCTCGCCGAGGGCCAAAAACCACAGCATGTGACCCAGCATCCCAGACCGTGCATAGTTGGCAGTGATGGCTAGCAAATCTCTCGTCCATGTGTGGAGATATCGTCCTAGCTTTGAGTGGATAATTGTGCCTCAATAGCGTGCGTGTCTAGTTCCCGGGACCCGCTGCGTTTGGCCAAGCGGCGTCTTTCATCGACCTCCGTACCCTGGGTGTGTACACACTGCCACTGCCAAAAGAAGAAGACGCTGCATTGTGCTGCACTGTGGGGTATTTACCGGCGTTGTGTGCGAGGATGTAGGGCGATTGTGAGGCCCTGTGTGCACGTGGTGACCTACACGTGTAGCCTTCCTTTCTCTGGCCGTGTTCTCTCCTCTTTCGAGCAGCTTTGCTCTTGAGGTGTCTGCTGTGCCAATCATGAGTAGACAGGGCTGTTGTTAACATAAATTTTATCACTCACTTTTTCACTAAGTCTCTGACCTACATTTTTCCTCCCTCTTCTTCATCTCTCCCTCTCTTACCCTTGCTCTCCCTACATCTCTCTATCAATTTGCCCAGGTCCCTACAGGCAAAGCCTTCTCCCACTGCTAGTAATCTCAGTTCGAGCCTGGCGGCCCGTGGAAAGAGAGTGTTCCAGTGCGACTACCCCCAGTGCAACAAGATGTACACCAAGAGCTCACACCTCAAGGCTCACAAGAGGGTCCACACTGGCGAGAAGCCTTTTCAATGTCCCTGGGAGGAATGCGATTGGGCGTTTCGACGCTCCGACGAGTTGACGCGGCACTACCGGAGACACACGGGGGAGAAGCCGTTCAAGTGCATGCAGTGTGACAAGAGCTTCTCCCGATCCGACCACCTCAGCCTCCACGCTTTCAAACACTCGTCGGGCACGGCTCAGGGCAGTCAACACGTTGCGAGAAGTGGCAGCAACGGAGCTACTGACGGAAGGCCCGTGGACAACAGAACTCCATGAATCATATATTTTCTAGCATCCTATTCTCCCTCACCAATCAATCTTTGAACTGTTGTTAGCCCCAATTTTAAAGCTTGTCCCGTGTTGTGTATGCCCACTGTATAATACGGATCAGATGTTGTTGCGCATACACTCTCCTTCGTGTTTTCCGGACCGTCGCTACTGGCATGTGCGTACGTGTGTGTGTGATTGCGTTCTGCGTGGAAATCGAGTCAAGAGACATGTGTTGTGTACGGTCGTGCATGAACCCACTTTGTCCAGATTGGAACACGATGTGTGTGCTGTCGCTGTGCACCCCAGCAGGGGACCAGACACTTTACGCAGTTAGTGATGTCCCCTTGGTGGCTGCACTGTTTGTGTTTTGGTTCGTGTTCGCCAGCAGTAGATCGCTTTGTACTCCTCTTATACTTTGGTAGTGACCTGCATATCTTGGCAAACCACAGACTCCTTGTTCTGGATGATTTATTGAGAAATGCTCACATTTATATGGTATACGCTAGGCTATTCCAACAAGGAGGCATTAGTATAAGTTTGTTCTTACTTCAAAGATCCCATGTCTATACAATGCGTAACATTTAAGTTAAGTTGGCAAGTAATGGGGTAGACATAGCTTTTGAGAAAGCAGGGTTCTGTTGCTTCAGTTCAGGTCTAGTCTTCAAGAAAATACCTTCTGCTTGTTGGCATGCAGGTGATGACAAGGTATACTTAGTAGTCACAAAGGTTACTTGTAAAACGCCATACTGCTGTGCATATCAGAAGACTTGTATGTGACAGACTTCTTAGTTGTGGTGTATTTACGTACTATATAGGTATCAGTCCGTAAATAGAAAAGGTTGCTAGCAGCAACCTCTAGAGTCAGTCATATGCTGGTCTAACCAATAATCTAATATCACTTTCCGTTTTCATTCTAGCTCGGCCGACCCTGGCCAAGTTATGACCCAGCATTTGGTGTGGATGGATGCACATGTATGTCCATATTGGATTATCATTCAGCAGTGTGCAGACTTACTGACGCGTGCCCGTACCTCTCTCGCTCGGAAATTAACTCCTTTTAACTCCTTTGCTTCCTAGTAACACTAGCAAAGATTGACATTTTCAGTTTGGTGCCTGCCAGAAACCATGGCCACAAAACTGCCTAACCACTTACCCAGAATCTTTGTCTGTAGTCTCAGTGTGTACATGTATGTTGGACTAGACATGCAGGCAGTATAGGTGTGAGTGTAACAGGAGAAGGGAGGGAGCGTGTGGGGGAGAGGAGCAGTGGCATTGTTAGGGTCTGTGTGTGGTGGTAGCTGAGTTGGCCAGCCAGCCATTCCAGGGCTAATTGCCCAGTGTCTTGTGGGATTTGATGATAAGCTACACTACTTGCAGAATGAACAGTCTCTTCTGCTGGGATCTTGTAACTGGACCTACTTACAGCACCGATTCATTTGTATCCCTGAGGACGGCTGCCAATAGATTTCTAAGGCTGCTCATTGCACCACGTCTTGTTACTAGCTATCAGCTCCAGAATGTAAGGCATTTTGATAACTATAACTCCATCCATATAGAGTCAAACTTAAACAACGGGAAGTGGCACAAAAAGGGTAGATACAACACACACTGGGTCCTTTGTCTACATTCTGTTGTATTGTGGGACTCCAGGGTGTCAGGCATGTTTTGACTTGGGATCTACTACCAGGCAAAGCAGAGTTTTACACACACACACCACCACAAGCAACTGCAGGACCAGCAAGGGCACCTTTGAAAGGGTTCTACAAAAGGTCCAGTCGCAGCAGTGTCTGTGGGAAAGCAGCAGGCCAGGAGCCTGATGTGCACATGAGTCGGAGTTTATATAGTAGTTATACTAGGTCATCACGAATGGAGCGTTGGTTGCATTTCTCAGCGCTGTGCGCACAGGTTGTAGCTTTGGTTCAATTTTCTCAATGGTATACACACCAGGCCAGCCCACCAGGGAGCAAAAAGCCTTTTACAATCACAGATTGTAAAACAGGAAAATTATACAATGGGCACAATGTGACAAAAAAAAACGCTTATAAATACAGAGAAAAAGGAGGGGATGACACCATACAAAATCCAGGGAGAGCGCAAAAAAATTTGTTTGAGCAGACTATGTATCACAGAAGATAGAAATTGCTTGTTCTTTGCATGTTGTGAATTTCGAGCTGTTAAGTGACATGTGCAACGTACTGGTATAACAGTAAGGAAGAGAAAGGGAAGGCAAGAGTGACAACTGATTTACATTCGGCAAAAATTGCAGTGATGACAAAATACTGTTAGTGAAAGGCCCGATGTCCGGAGATAATCACTGGTGCCTCTTAAGATGGAGTGCGAGGTGATCGGAGCGAGCAAAGGCCCGCTCGCAGTGCTGGCACTTGAACGGCTTGACTCCAGTGTGCTTGCGCATGTGGCGCGTGAGCTCGTCGGAGCGGGCGAACTTCCAGCTGCAACCCTCCCAGTTGCACTTATAAGGCTTCTCGCCAGTGTGTGTCCGCTGGTGCGCCTTCAGGTGGGAGCTCTTGGTGTAGACTTTGTTGCAGCCCGGGTACGAGCAACGGTGAACGCGCTTGTTTCTCTGCGGGGGCTTGGCATAGTAGTAGACGGCGTTCATGAGGTCGTACGGGGTGTAGGGAGGGAGCGTCTGGGCCAGCAGCTGAGGATAGAGGGGCTGATCTTTCAGCGGGGAGGGTGGGTTGGAGTTCGGTGGAGTGATGACATTGGCCGGGGTGGAATAATGCTGGAGGGGTAGGGGTACCCCAGAGCTCGACGTCGTGTAGATGCTGTTTCTTGCCTGGTACGTGTATGCCTGAGCGTTGACATTCAGGTTGATATTCACCATCGTGGTGTTCTGGGAGTATGGTGGTGACGGGAGCTCCACCATGCGCCCGGCACTCCGCCTGGCTGAGAAGGCGACTGACTTCTGCGTCGTGACGTGCTCCGTGGCCACATAGCTGGGAGGAGGAGGTGGGGTGGTGGTGGCATAGGGGAAGTGCTGTAGCGGCTGAGTGCCTGGCGAGGAGCAGCTTACGTTCAGCTCCGTCTTCACCTCGATCGGGTGATCACGGAGGGGCACACCAGGCTTGGGAGGCGGCGGGCTGAACTCTGACTTGATCGCCACTGGAGAGGGAGAAGAGAGGTCCTCGGTTATGTCGATCTCGCGCAGAATTTCGTCAATATCAGAGGCACTGCTTGCATCATCGTCGCTGTTGCTACCGAGGTAGCAAGTCATCTCATTCCGAGTCTAAAAGAGAGATAGAGAGAGAGAGTTACAATTCTGAATCCCACAAGACCGCACACTCCTACGCTAAAAGAAGGCGCGACGACCGCTAATCGGACAGAGCTCTGAGAAAGTTTACACAGAGCGCCGCCGGCCATGAATATCACCCCCCTGGCACGCAAACAAAGCATTCCACACCAAACGGTCTCTCACCTTCTGCATCTCCTCGTCCGAGTGAAAACCGCTCTCCTCCAGCTCGGAGTAGCAGCTCGGCGGGGAGTACTCGGGGACGCTCGGCGGGCTCGGAGTACCGAACTTGTAGAAACGGTCCGCGCTGTCCACGACGGGTCCACTGCAGTGACCGAGGGCAAGTGGAGGAGGGGGCGCGCACATTGCAACGGCCATGACTGGACTTCAGCGTTTTGTAGCGCGACTGTAGACTGGGGAACTGGTTGAGAAAAAAGTAAGTAGCAGTTTTAGAAGGTGCGATGAGGGCTTAGGTCGGCAGCGTAGATTGGAGGCGGTGAAAGGTGCGAGTTGCAGTGCGATAAAACACTAGCGAACGAAAAAACGACGACAAGTACGAACGAAGGGGTGGCTGAATGGTGCCTGATTGAAGAAATAAACAAATCTTGACTCTGTGACGGCTGTGAATTGAATATCGTCTAAGAAGGCGACCAGCGCTTGTTTTCGATCAATCTCTGTGATGATTGACGACGGATTCCAGAGGTAGCTCGGCCCAAAGAACTGCGCCGCAGTCAGATAGGCTCCTTAGCTTCGCTTGGGAGTTTGTATACTGGACAGGAGGGGATGACCTTGACCAGCAAGAACGGCGACTGACGGATGGACGGCGGGGGAAGAGGTGTAGTGGCGCTGCTCTGCAGACTTCGGTTGGTTGAGCCGTACGCACGCGTTTTACTTCTCGCGAAGTGTGTGTTCTGATACAAGACGAGATCCAGCTCGTAAAGACAAGGACCAGCCCGTCTTGCTATAGCCCGCTATAGCTAAGGGAGGAGAGAAAGCTTTTGCAAGCGACCGACGCGCGCACTCGATTTTCAACTTCTGCAGCGCAAAGTGAATTAGCGCGAGATTTTATACTACTCCAGCCCTGCTACATATTTGTGGCTGCCTGTGGAATGCCCCGAGCGGTCATATTTTTACGCTTGACCAAATATTTTTACGCACTCTGCGCGCGCGCGGCCCCGGGGATTTTGACCGTTCAATATGGCGGCACTACTTGATGACAGAGAACTACTGAGCTTCAAATTCTTTGCGGAGAGAAGAAGGCGCGAATATTCCCTGAGATTCTCATTTCTCACTGAGCGGCAAATTACCGCCAAACTTCGCCGGGTGTGGCAATCTCGTAAAGGAGACACAGTCTCTACATCTGCCGCTCGCAGGCGAGATCGGGGTATGTCGTTGGAATTACACGTCTTACAACTGTATGACTTATCCTGTGTGGAGTAAAAAGTAAAAAATATATTTATATCGCCTCTAAAACCCTAGCTTTGGCGGAATGCGTTCGACTCTGCAGATATGTTTTGGTGTGCTCTAATTAGAGTGCGAGTGCTCAGCGCGCGGGCGCTTTCCTAAATATTTGCATGCTTCCCTAATTGCCACATTTCTTTGTGTGTGCTTGACTTCACGAGATCAAAATTTTGGCACCCAATGACTTGGCGCACGTAGTTAGAGTTCGGACTGGCCAAAAAGAGTCATAATTGATCCGCTGGTTCGATGTGGCAAGCATTGATACTCACAGACCCTGTTACACAATGGTATTAGAAAGTGGTCTTCTGCCACGTGCTATATACGATATCCAACATGATTAACTCCAAAACCTTGAATGAATCAGGTGATCAAGTCACTTTACATATCTGTTGGACGGTTTATAACCTCCATTCCTCCTCTTCGGCCCTCCGAAGCACTGTTAAACTGACAAGGCACTTTGCACAATGTTGTAGCTAAAGTGATACTTTCAGCGTACACGCTCCCTTCATGCCGTCAGTTGGCATTAATTATCCCCCGCAGGTTTTTTTTTCTCTGGGGGGGGGGCACTTGTGCTACCCCCTGAAATAGCTTGCCCCCCTGAACTATGGCTCAAATCAATTACTGATGCTGTCAGGGTTAACTTGCACCCTAAATTTCTATAACAATTGATCTACCCCCTGAAAAACATTCTAGAAATAATTATGGATCTGCCCATGAATGTAGTAGTCTCAGGCAATAGGCATAAGGGGCCCGTGTGGGGATCCTGTCAAAACGACTGTTTTGGTGCCACACTCTGTGCGATTACAACTCAATCACAGAACTAGAATAGCAGATGATTGTCAACACTCACACTGTAAGATCAATTCACTCTCTCCAACTGTAGACACTCGGGGTTAATGGACCGGGGACTGTGCCCTATTAACATAGCATGTAGTCAAGCAAGTTGCCCTTTGTCCTAAAAGCCCAGTATATGCGATGGCTGTTTTTCGTAACTGCTCGTTGCAGGAAGTAAACATGGTAGGGTTATTCTGTTAGCTTTGTGTGTCTTTTGGCTATCCAGTTTTGCCATGGCAATGTAATGAGATCTGCATGCGGAATTGCCGTGATCTCCTTTATAGGGGGCCCTCCACACGCGTCCTTTAAGAGGTGGCACACTCTCCAAGCATCATAAGATTATCCGGTCCATCCCACGCTTATAGTGCAGGGTTTTTTCCCACTGTGTATAAATACACTTAGACTGTGTTGGTTGCTTGCGTGTGTGTGTGTGTGTGTGTGTGTGTGTGTGTGTGTGTGTGTGTGTGTGTCTATTGTATATCGTGTGTGTTTGCGCATTGTGTGGGTTGTGTCCACTCACTGGCTACTGTATACCACTGTCAGCAATCACAGGCACGGAAATGGCTGCACATGGTACCAGTTACAGGTCCCAGTGTATCAACCGTATATTATTATACCACGTCCATTGGTGGACGTCAATAGCAAGCCATATCACGTTTGGCCACATATAAACCCTACACAAAGTCAGTACTGCTAGAATCAATGTTACCCTTGCCACATTTCACCACCAACTCCAATGTACATGTATACCTTCTTGTAAGAACATGTAAGACATGTACAGGTAAATCTTGGCTCGACGTGTTTTACTTCTGCTCCCCACCAATCCTGAAATCGGTTACATTCACTGACTCTATTGAGAAGAGAGTATAGTAGCTGCTCATATTTGGATCTCGACATTCAATGGCACACATCCCAACCTCAACAATGAGAGGGTGTGCCCTTATCTCTCTGGACTCCCTTTCACTCCAGAGAGCTCGCCTCTCTGTCTGAGTGGATGAATTACACTGCAGTTGGCCAGTCCCGCACGTTGTAATCCTCCACCTCTGTACTTTGAGATGAATGCTCGCCGATTCAACAGGACAGGTGCCCACCGTGACATTGATTCGTAACAACCTACAAATGAATCTTAACTTGTCAGAGGGTCGCGGTGGCAATATGGCGGTGAGGATCCCATTCTGTGGCGGGCCTTGACGTGTAATGTCTACAAATTGGGTGCAAATGAGAGCAAATGTACAGAGGTAACTGGTTGGCTGGCATGAGAGGTATTACATTACACGTGCACAAACGAAAGCAATGGAAGCTAATTATCTCAATTTACATCTTGGATACCGGCTAATGCTCGTGTCTTAGTGCGCCGTACGGACAAGCATTGGTGTTCGTGTTGGTCTGCAAAATTTGTACCCGTTTTGTTCCCTTTCTGTCATTAACCGTCCGCATAGTGCAAACGTCTGTGCAGTGTTTATGCATGCGTGTTCAAGGCAGGTGGCAATTACACTCTCACTGAGTTTAAAGAACGTAATACTAGCCAGAGAACGAGAACTTGCACACCTCGCACAGAAAGTTCACGTTTGTATGCTTCACATAAAATTAATGTGCACAGAAAGATGATTCTGAGAGTGTTAAGCAAAAACTCTCCCTCGTGTATTATAAGAGTAAGAATCACTGCTGTAAGAGAAGAACTGCATGTGAAAAGTGAAGTCCACTGCGTTGGTTTGAAGTTGGCTGAGTCAGCAAGTGATTTACACCCACATCAATGTGAAAGGAAACATATCCCCATAAAGAAACCACATTGTGTGATACTTTGACGTGGTCTGTTGGCTGCGTCTATATACTTGCATTCAAGATTGACCCGGTTTTACAATCGAGGATTTGTCCGCACATGCGTAGTATGTAGATGCTCTGGAGAGTTGCATATAAAATCCAATTAACCATCTTCAATACGTTGATTATAGCAGGAGTGGCAAGTTTAACTATAGAGATTGAGAGATTGAGCAACCAAGTGGGAGATTAACACTCAGAACATCAAGCCAACAACAACACACATATATTCTTGTGGAGAAAATCCAAATGACGCAAGGCGAGCATGTGATTGTGAGCCAAGCAGTAGTTGTCTGTTAGTAACTTTCCGACTCTGAACAATGATCGGCCTATAGTCTTACATGTGGCCCTTGTCGGTGGTTTAACTGGACAAGTATTCTATGTGGTCAGTGTGTGGCATTCCTGGTTTCCATTTTAGTGCGTCCGATATTACACATTGGTTGGCAAAGTAACAACAAATGCGGACCGCCCGTCTTTTGTTTCCACTGACTCACCTGAAATCCAGCTAGTGTGTAAACCACTCAGTGAGTAATTTTAGACGGCTCTCTCTATACCTCCCTTGGAGTATATATACTTATGTATGTATGCAGCAGAATTGTGGTAGATCCGTTTCAAGTTCATTTCGCAATTTCCCAGAGTAGGCTTGGTGGCATGTTAACTCCCTTTATACGCAAAATACACAAACTCAATCTGTGTTTGTGCCTACGGAGGCCAGTTGTGAGGTGCTTTTAGAAGTGAAAAAAGGTTTTCGGGGTTTTCCTTTGGAGATGCTTATTATGGAGTGAGCATACAGCAAGCTTCAGAGAATCAATACACCTGGAATTAGAGAGGGGTTTTCTCTCTCTCTCTATATACCCCTTTAGAAAACCTTTCACATTTTCAAAAAGGCTAGCTTACATAATTATGCTATTCATAGGCAAGGCCAGACAATGGTGACTAGAATGATATCATGTAGGTTCTAGCCAGAGGCCATTCAACCCATCCTGAGCTATGGCCACAAGCATTAGCCCTACTAAAAGGCAATGAATAGAGCACCTTCTTGCCAACCCTCCAACAAATTGAATTAGACCCCAATTTTTGCCGCTCATTATGTTTCCATTAGGGATCTCCCTACTCCCCCATTGTTTACCTCAGACCCTACACACTTCCCCTCTTTACTGGAACTAGGAGGGGCCAGTGTAGCGCTCAATAGCCAGCTTGAATAATGGCTCCACCTGCCACTCTTTCAGCGGATATTTGAAAGACTAAGTGCTGTATTTCTGGTGCTAGGTAGGCACTCCCTCTAGATGTTTTGCTGGCTACTGTGTAGAGGGGTAGTCGTGCCTACACAGACTGACCGATCTGAACACACATGTCCCTGTCTGGACCCTGAATGTGGGCCACATTGGAGCACATTAGTTCAGAATTGAGGGGGGGGGAGGAATCCATGTCTATAGTGTAGCAGTGTTAATTTTGTACTCTTGTGCACTCATAAAGATACACATGTTAGAGTGATATTCAGTGTGTGTGGCAGTGCAATGCATGTATGTATGTATATAGAATATTCAGACATAGTGTGCCGTTCTATTGCTAGGAAGTGTAGGAAAAAACAGCCCTCTTTGTCTAGTTTTACACTAACTAGTGGAATTCCACCTCATATCAAAACAGATTAACCTCCCAGCTTTCGACTATGCTGTTGATGACAGTTTGCTACATACGTCACTACAGTGTTAGTGTTGTGAAGGTTTGCCGATTCAAAGGATCTGGGAAATACCCAGGGAACTTCAACAGGAAGAACGTGTGGTTCCTTGCAATTACAGTGTTTCTCACTCCATTCTATACTGCACACATCTGTGTAGGATCGTAGAGTTGCTTCCTTTTATTATCTCCAGCACTGTTCCTTGCTTCCTTACCAGTTAACAGTTCCATCTTAACTGTGCAGTGTAACCAGATCTGTGTACATTGCTTCCTTATATTATAGCAGCTCTATCTAAACACACAGTGGTGTCCATTATCAAGTGGATTGAAACAAGCTAGTGTCCTTTATACATACATACATACCCACAGGTGTCCTTTATTCAGAAATATTAGTGGTTGATTGAAGTGGTCTTTATATAGGGGTGTCCTTTATACATACATACCCACAGGTGTCCTATATTCAGAAATATTAGTGGTTGATTGAAGTGGTCTTTATATAGGGGTGTCCTTTATACATACATACCCACAGGTGTCCTATATTCAGAAATATTAGTGGTTGATTGAAGTGGTCTTTATATAGGGGTGTCCTTTATACAGGTATGTATTAGTGGTGGATTGAAGTGGTCTTTATATAGGGGTGTCCTTTATACAGGTATGTATTAGTGGTTGATTGAAGTGGTCTTTATATAGGGGTGTCCTTTATACAGGTATGTATTAGTGGTGATTGAAGTGGTCTTTATAGGGGTCCTTTATCAGGTAGTATTAGTGGGATTGAAGTGGTCTTTATATAGGGGTGTCCTTTATACAGGTATTAGTGGTGGATTGAAGTGGTCTTTATATAGGGGTGTCCTTTATACAGGTATTAGTGGTGGATTGAAGTGGTCTTTATATAGGGGTGTCCTTTATACAGGTATGTATTAGTGGTGGATTGAAGTGGTCTTTATATAGGGGTGTCCTTTATACAGGTATTAGTGGTGGATTGAAACAAGTGTTCTTTTTACAGAGGTGTCCTTTACCCAGGGGTTATATAATTTTAGCACCGAATCGAAACACCCTGTCCTTTATACAGAAGTGTCTGTTACAAAGGCTCCACTGTATATCTATACACATGTGCCGACGTACAGGTATTTTCTACAGTTGAACATAAAAGGCCCCTCACTTGCGTTCAGCGTAAACAACGTCTATTATTAACTCGATCATACACCGGTGTCCACGTCTATTAGCCACTGATGATCCAGTTTTTGGTTGGCGTTATTTGTAGAATTTGCCGAGTAATTCCCCTAGACCAAATACCCTGGGCAGACCCAATGTGCTGGAACAGACACACATAATTCCCTGCACAAACTATTTTAATACCGTCATTGTGGCCCCCCTACAGGGCAGATGAAAGGTAACCGAAATACCGCTCGTTATAACTGGTGACTAATCCAGCCAATTGTGCCTGCCTTTATCCGCAGAGGGTTTGCCGGGGAGTAAATTCTCCCGGCGCTGAAAAAGGAAAAGGTGGCATTCATTATTGTGTCCACCAACTTAAGCAATTACATAGTCGGGTATGTAGACAGCTACAGAACGTACAGTGTTAGATGTATATGGGTGGAAATGTTGCTTGGCAGTGTGTGTATACTCTCACCGTACAGTGGGAGATTGCGGAATTGTCGCGTTGGAATGTAGATGAATAGTTTCATTGCAGTTTAGTTGTTTGGTGAGCCAATACGGACATACCGGGTGCCAATTACACGCACAGTCTGTGGAGTTATATTTTGTGTTACCATCTTTCTCTCCTTCAGACAGCCATATTAGCAATTAGAAACTAACCTCTAGATCTGTGTCTAGCAAGTTACGCAAAACACACGCTGCAAATTACTCGCACAACGGTCAGTGTGTGCATACATAACCCACGCCACTTAAACTACACTATGCAAACATACACACACACACACACACACACACACACACACAGTGGTCGTGCATGCTAAAAGTGAGTGGCAGACGACACACTAATGTGCAATGTCCTGTCGTGTTTCAACTGAATTGCATCTCTAGTCACAGCATCCTACGTATCTGTTAGTTCAAACTAAAGGTGGTATATATGAAGCCCAGGTTAGGAGTATCGTAACATACAGCTCCGTACCTACATGCATAGCATTGACTGCAAGTGTGCAACTTTAAGTGTTTGCAAAACTTCCCAAAAGTATCGGGACCCACCGAGTGTGTGTGTCACTCTTAATTCAACCACACAATAGTCTCCCATGTATGTCTTTCTGGGAAATTTTCCCACTCTCCAAGAGGGTCGCTTGCCGTAATGTAGAGCTGCAAGTGCATGTCAACTACTGTGTGTGTTGTGTGCGCATGTACGTGTGTGTGTGTGTGTGTGCGTGTGTGTGTATGAGTGTGTGTGTGTGTGTGTGTGTGAGGCGGTGGGAAATGTGGTACTAAGAACCTGAAACAGATACGCATGACTTCTCTTTCACCTCTCACAGAGTCACCATACACTGTAGCCACTATACACATACCGAGTCATGGGAAACTGTACACACCCCTTTGTACCACATCTCTATGGTACATACTCTATGGTACATACATCTCTATGGTACATTGTAGGTATGTCTGTGTGTGTTACCGCTTCACTTAAAACCTTCTGCAGCAAACAACTTTCCAAGATTTTGCGGATTTTAATAATTTGTTGTGATCAACTTGTTGTGTGATGTGCGCAAGTTTATTTGTTTATTACCAAGGGGTAATTCATTTATTGTACCTTAAGAGTGTTGCCCCTACAAATATACACGCCTCAAGTGCTAATCCACTCATTTTGGCTGCTAATGAGGTTTGTATGGACCTCTCATACTCCCCATCACCTCCATACATTCCGCTCTTATGAGATTTAGCCTACGCACACGCAAAATAGGAATGTATTGATGAGAATATGCGCCTGGAGCGTCTCAACACGTCCCCTTTGTCGGTGGCACTGGTCCTTCTAGTCTTGCGAAATCGTGGGCGACAAACGTAATGCTTCCATCGCAAATTTGGTGGTGAAATATTCCAGGATTAACTGTTTCTCCTTGTCTGGCTGTGGTAAAGGTTAGGATTTTGGCAGCCGGCGCAGCTTGCATGCTTTGCCGTTTGATAATGCCAGCATACCACAGTATACGTCAGCAGCGCATTTCTCGACTCGCAAAAAAGGCAAGTGTGTTTTACGTCTGGTCGGGAATCTGGGGAAGTGCAGTTTGCGTGGGTGGGTTTCCCAGGGTTTTAATTACCAGATGCCGCACGCTGCAACCAATGGTTCGTGCTGCTGGCTCTTTCCCGGTTCGACTGGAGGCTGTTTGTGTGTGCAGTGCCCCGGCCTCATGCCCCAAATCTGAGCTCTGTTTACTCACATGCATAGTAGTGCCTGAATCCATTCAGGTATGATTTGATTCCTGCATAGAAGTGTATATACTACGTTCTTAGTGCAGTGTACCTACCACATACCACATGTATACAGTGTATGTCGTGTTGTATCATAGTGTACTGTATGTCTTATATATCACAGGTCAGTGTCATTTCCGTGTACAGTGCGGGTATTGGATAGAAATAGCGAAATACAGTATATAGTGCACGTGAGGTGCATTCTCAACACACACAGACCTCAAATCTGTAAATTTTATTGGTTCACACCGTTCCAGGCCAACTTTTCACCAAACTTCGTGTCTCGGTGATTGGCTTAACCAGACAATAGGTCTCATCATCATCAGCACCGACATCAGTAGGGGACAGATTCTGTTCTTCCCCGAGGCAATAAGGGAGTGTACCGACTTCTATATCTGATATGGATGTGAAAACATGGCAGCATAATCGTTGTGGAACATAAATAGTGTGTTCTAATCCAATATGTCACTGCTACGACCTCTGTATGACAGCCCGTAGCCCTGGAATTCTTATTGTCGTAATGGCTGTTGATGATCCGCCCACGTATGAAGCACAGTTCTCGGTGGGCCAGATAACTCGATCTCTCTATAAGGCAAGTTTGGGTAAACAGAAATTATCTCCGATTAGAAGCAAAGGGACGCTAGTTCTTACCTTTCAAGCATTTTCCCACAGATGCTCAGGTTTGCTGTACATGTCGCTTGGCCAGAGTCTCATGTTCTTACATGTGTACATTGACATGTTGTGTTAGCTGGACGGCTCGACGTGGTGTTTGCTAACAGTAGCCAACTAACTGGCAGTGGAGAATGAGTGGGGGCCATTCGTAGCTCATAGTTTAGCCGCTGTGCCCACTCATACCGGGCCACACAGCTTATACTAATGAATTGTGCACGCTATGGCACATTGTTGCTGGTGTGTGTGTGTGTGTGAAAACGTGTATCGTGCTTGTGTTGTTTGGCAAAACCAGATCCACCGCAAGTTTCGCTTTTGGGCAAGTGTCTGCGGTTTTGTTTGGCTGGCGTTATAATTGTGATGAACAAACAGGCTCTCTGTGTGCATGTATGTGTCTGCCCCAAGATTTCCCTCATCTTTATTAGAAAGAGCACTTAGCAAAACATATAGACTGAGACGTCCAAACCGCTCTATGCTATGGGTGCACATGTGAATTGTCAAGTGTGGTGGAGACGTCGTTGTTAAAATTCTTCTTCTTCAATTCAGACGACCAGGTAGACTCGCTCGCCAATTCGGATAAGCGTACACGAAGTAACCAAATGAGATGTGGCCAAGTTTGCCCGGTTACCTGAGCTTATCCAATCCTCGTCACTCCATGTTTGGCTGATTCGATCACGTTTAAACACTTTAGCGAACGCTGTAAAGGAAGCTACTCGCTAAATTTCTGTTTTTATGTGCTGTACACTTCCATAATTTTGGAGGAGTGTGGATCGGACGTGTGAGTAGTGCAACCACAGCTCTCTTCACCAGCTTATCTCCACAATTTCAAGGACGTATTTTTCTTCACTGGATTACCACCATGTTACGCAACACCCAGGTTCCGAGGCAAGGCAAACTATTCAACACAGGACAAATTTTTTTCAGAGGAAAAAAGAGCTGCCGCAGGTGGGATTCAAATTAGTTAGACTCTGTCTGTCTGTCTAGGCAGAGTGCTGTAGTCTGGGCAGAGTGCTCTACCCACTGAGCTACCAGGGCAGCTCAGCAGACAGTGGACAACACAATACAAGACGGAGGCAAACCTCAACTAACCGTGCTATGCCTTCACTTAGTGCTCTCTACAAGTCTTCTACTTCTGCTGCTCTACCCACTGAGCTACCAGGGCAGCTCAGCAGGTGGGGGGCTCAAATCTTAAACACAATTGAGACAGGAGCACATAAGTAACTGTGCTATAGCACAGTATACCTTTACTTAACGCTCTCTACAAAGTCTTCTACTTTAGACCACGAATTAGAAGAGGTGATGAAATATTGGATAGGGTGTTGCATTTCGCTGTCATGTGTGTGACTTGCTATGGATTGCACCGACTGAGTGACGGTGCTTCTGCTGTGTCCTGTATGGTCTGTGGAATCTTCTCAAATGCAATCGAATCTTGGCAGGCGGAGGGTGCCAAATACTCATCAACATAACTGGCCGAACACACGCACGCATTTCGTATGATAATTGGTATTTTTAACGGCCATTCGTAGCCTCGCTTCTGGGGAACCTGAATTCCGTGCTAATGGTGTGTCTCACAACAGTTTGTTAGTGCAGCTCCCCTGCAGAAGTCTCCTATTTTGGACACAAGGCGGCTAATGTGCCGCAGTTTGTCCTGATGTACATTAGTATGTATGTAGAGTGTGGGGCATATACACACAATGAATTTAAAGGAAGTTGTGCAATATCAAGAAACTGTTGGACGGTGTGATCATCCCTGGCCTCTGACTGAAGCTATCTTATACTTTTCTTTGTGGCGTGTTAACAGCTATAATTACGTCACCCAAAAGCGTGACTTTCAACAACAAATGTTTTGGAATAGAATGCAAATTTTGCGGTGAAAACTTTTGTGCATGGTTTTAATACCGGTGTACTCATTTTTTACAGACTGCTGGCAAAAAAATGTGAATTTGTGTTGTGGCACAGATCACATGCACTCATATGCGTATGCGTGTGTATTAGTTGACAGGACCATGTTGCAATGGTGAATACTGTTGCAGCCGTGCTATATTTGGTACGCCTACTGGAAGTTTAAGTTCTTGGATTGCACTGTTATAATTACTATACCAGAGAAGTATGGCACAACCGCCATATAGTCATGAATGGAATTAGCTCGCGTTTGCCTCGTACGTCGAATTCCGGGGACATTGCAATGCACCCCAGGCCAGCCAGCGCAACGGCTAAACAACAGTCCATACAAAAAGCTGTTGTCAGCGCAGCATACTCTTTTCATTTGTGATGGTTGCCTAGTGACCTGAACAAAAAAACATTATACTTGAACTCAATCTGTACGTACGTAATAATTATCTGTTAGGAAACTGTGGCATATGTCCATTATGGATTATCCCATGTGGTGGTGGTCCTAATCAGTTTGTGTATTGATGCTGAGCGGCCACTGTGTCTTGCTAGGCGACCGCTTGCCGAGCCAGGTGCCTAACAATATGCTGGCCAGTAGTCAATTGTGTGTATGCGCCCCCTTAATTCCAGGTGCTTACTTTATGCGGCAAAACAAGAGCTAATGTCATTGACTACTTGCAGTGGTCCTACCATACTATTGCTTGGACGTGTATCACTTACGCTGTATATGTATCCACTTTGGAGAATCTAATTGTGTGCATGGCTAACGAGTTTATCCTTTTTTAAAGCCCACCATTTTTGCCACTGTGTCTTACGGCTGGCGTCGCAGAGATATGCAGTTCATCTATGGAATGGCTGGGTGCTTGGTTTTGGAGTGTGGTTGGAACAATTATGGGAATGGCTGGCTGAATAAGCACTATACGTACATCGCTCTACTTATTAGCCTACATACATAAGCTGATTTGTGTTGCTTTGCAACTAAGTATCCCTTGTAACTATACAGCTAAGCCAATTGTAAGTGACTAGAAATATGTAATGTGGGCTGGATTGAGCAGAAAATAGTAGAGCAACCCTTGGGCTGAACTATACGTTATGTAAAAAGCCTAGCTAACAACCGTTTTATTGACGAATTCAAATCCTATCTGAGCTTCATATGTATGTACAATACCCATGTCTACCTGTGTTTGACTTGAAAGTGAAATGCCTTAGCCATTGTCTAGCTTCCCATGCGCTGGGTTTTAGATCAGTGTGCCAATACTGACCCTATACATGTGCCTAGTAGCTACTCTAAGCTGCTCGTTGTGTGACTACGTATGTGCAGAGTGACTGTTATCCTCTGTGCAGTAACAAGTGCTGGCTGGGACTGGGCCAGTAGCTACAACACTGTCTGCCCGGCCTTCTGTACCTGAATAGTCTGTTTGTGAACTGTTTGAAGTATAGCGCTGCCACACACACACGCGTCCCTTGATTGAGTGTTTGTTGAATATTCCCTCATCGAAGCCTCTTTTGTTTCCGTCTCCAGCTATTCAGCCGCCACATGCTGGGCGACCACTGCCAACCGCTACAAATGCCTGCTACATTAAGGTGAGTGTGTGTGTGCTGTGTGTGTAGAGCTACTATTGATTGTAGGGGGTCCCCTCATAATTACATTTTTACCACGCAAACTTCCAAATCATCGTGTGGAATGCAACGTTCAATGGTTTTGCACTCCTGTGTACTGCTTATGTTTGCAAGCCAGAGGTTCTCTATTAATATAGCTGTTATACGAGGAAGTAAGCATGTTTGTGTGCATGTACCAGTATGCATGTACCAGTATGCATGTGTGTGTGTGTGTGTACCAGTATGCATGTGTGTATGCATGCATGTATGCAGGTGTCTACTATTACCTGGTGCTTCCCTTAGGGTAGCCCCCATAAATGGTTTCCGCGCCGCTAATTATTCCTCCTCTGTTGACGGTATAATTATAAATGATTTTTTGCCCAACGACGCTCAATATTCGCCTCCCTATACGTAGTACGTACATCAGTTTGGAGCACTTCAGCCCGAGTATTGTGATGTCACTATTGGACCTTATGTAGCCCATTGTTTAGTACGGCCAAACAAGCTGTGTTGGATGTATGTAAGGGTTTTATAAGGGTATTCTACATTGGTGGGTCCATTCAAGGTCAGGGGGCTGTATTGGACAATGGCGCTATCATTTTTCAGTAGGTGTACACAGTCCTTTGTGTACGCACAATAGCCCATGAGATTATATTGCGTAAGCAGTCTCCAGTGGGCCGTTTGCCTCAGTATTATACGTACATAATTGATAGTCTTGGCAAAGAGCTGTATACTTGATCTCGTACATTACCCTGGCAATACGCGGCTACCGTGCGTATTATGCACTTTGGAATGTGTTTGGACTTGTAGCTATAGTGACAGGTGTACACCACACGTTGCGTACGTACGTACGTGTATGGTTGTTGTTTGTTTGTTTGTCTGTTTGTTTGTTTCAGGCCCGGGTGTTCCCCAAGGGAGATCTCTCGGCATTTGACATTGACTCTGACACATCACCGACTGCCGTCCATCACCCACCAGCTAAAACTATAGACCTCGATAATACGTCTTCACATACTGCTCCTAGGACTCAGGGCTCCGATAAGAAAGCAGTCAAGAACGCCTCTCCTGCTAATCGACATGAAACTACTGAGGGGTGTCCCACTTCAAACCGTGACTGTGCATCACCCTCAGATGGCGAGGTTGAAAATCCCTTTTGTGAAAAGCTAATGAGGAGCTTTGAGGAGGTTAGAAGAGAAGAAAGTGTAGGAACTAACCCAGTCGACCAATGTCCACCCGACATTGCCGCTGCCCCCCAATCCCAGCCTCGTCAACCGCTCCAATCCCTCAACAGTTGCACCGCCAAACCCCTCACGTATCCTCCTGCCAAATCTCGTGGGAAACCCCCCGTCAGCTCCCTCGCTACTGCGAACCTCTGTGAAGAGACTGGCGCCCCCTCGTACCACAAGCTACTACCCTCTGTGTGCGAAGTGTGTATGGTGCCTCAGAACGAAGCCAGTTGTTTCCCAACAAACACCCTTCCTTTTTCGAGCAGTGAAGCTCAGCTTGGAGCAGGATTTGCATGTGAGGAGCGTCTCAAAACACGACACCCCATTATGGCAGGCGTGGCTGTAGGTCCTCGCTCAAAGCGTGCGCCGCTGGAGAACAAACCGCCGTGTCACCTTCCAACTCCCCGTATGGGACCCTTGCTTTCACCGGATACAAAGAAGGTGCGCAATCTAACGTGTTCTCCAGGCCGCAAGACACCCGATATTACTGCGGTGCTCCGGGGCTCCGGTCGGCCGAGCCAGAGTTCTAGTTCCCCTGGAGAGTCCCCCCAATTTGCCTCTTTGTGCACCGGTTCTGTTATTCATTCCATGCCAAGCCCGTCTCCCGCCCCACCCAGCCCGGCTGCATTCCTCCAGGCCGGCGCTGCTCTCGCGGCGCCGCGGCCGTCAGCCAGTTCCCCAGATGGGAGCAGCGACGCGGCAAACACGACCGCAATACAATTTCCCGGCAGTGTGTCCAGCGCCGCTCAAAAACATGACTTTCCCGATGTTGCACATTTTCCTCCGGCGTTGGGAACTACCACCCACACTAACACAGTGGGTCAAAGTGGGGTTGATTCTACCGCTGGCTGGAGAGGTGGGGAGGAGGTACCACAAACTGACTGTGTCAGGCGAATGGTAAAGAGGTGCCGTTCGAGGAGGAGGAGGAGGAGGAGGAGGGAAATATTCCTTTCTTCCTGCATGGCCACTAGTTTGTCAAGCACCACATGCACAGCAGGGGAAAGGGAGGCGAGGGATACTGTGGAAAGTGCTGCGTCGTGTCCATCCATCGGGAACACGGAACCAGATAACTCTAGCACTGTCACTACTACTGATTTGGAAGAAGAAAACAGAACGTTTCCCTTGGAAAAAGAGGTCTCCTACCTTGATGAAAGCGGTATGGAAGAATCCAGGGATCCTGCTAACAGTGACGAAGCTTCTGTTCCGACCAACTCACCAGCTACGACAGCGTCACGTCAAGAGCAGTTGGTGCCAGGAGATGAGCCGCCATTGGCACCCTGTACTTCCCCCCAGCCTCATGTGAGCTTCCTACCGTCTATAGTATCCCATTGATGCCTCATTGATGAGTACATTTTTCTCTTATGAGTCAACCCATTGGATGGCCATGTAGGAACAGTGTGTGTGTGTACACATATTATCATAATGGAATCGCTGGCATAAGACTGGTGTATTTGTGGATGTATGGAGATATTTTCATTCCATATCTCTGCAGGCGCACCCTCCAAACGTAATATTCGCAGAATGTCCTTATGTGATTATGCCAGTTGTGCTTAGTCTCCAGCAGCTAGTCTGATGCATTGTTGCGCTGGCTCAGAAAACTTGTGCATGTCTACCGCTGGGCTAGAATAGTGATTAGCATGCACAACCTTCCTCCCCCTTCCTTTCCTCTCCCTCCCGTTCTTCTCTCTCCCTCACTCTCTCCCCTGTCCCTTTATCAATTTCCCCCTCTCCGTTCATGTATCTTTCCCTCGTTCCATCCCTCCTTCCCGTCCTCCCTCTCCTCCCCATCCTTTTCCCTTTTCTCTCCCTCTTCCCTTCATCTCTCTCCTCCCCTCTCACCTTCCCCCTCCCCTCTTCTCCCTTTTCTCCCCTCCACCCAACAGCTAACACCGCCACCGCCGGCTCCAGCACCAGCGGGTAAAGAAGACCTGATGTGTGACATGTTCCAGTTGCTGACTCCCGATCGGCCAACCCCTGCTGCTCCAGACTCCAGACAACACTCTGGAGATGTCTCCTCTGGCAGACAGACCTCAAAGCGCAGGTGTGGATTACACCGGCATTGTTGGGTTTGGTCAGTGGCCAAGTGCCTTCACGGCTTGCACGTAATGCACACACACACACACACACACACACACAGCATCACACGAGAGTACAGTTTCTTATGTGGTAGACGGTAATAATATATCAGATTGATGCATTCACTGGACTATATAGCCTATCAAACTGTGGCAGAAATCTTAGGACAAGTGCCAACGGCCAACAGACCAATTTTGGGCACAAAGCTCCCCATTAGGGCAGTGTTCGTGCTCAAGACTCTTTCATCCACCCTAGGTCATTCCACAGTACGTACGTATATTGAACTGTGTGTGAGTTAGACTTGCCCTAAACTTTGAGTGGAAATTACTCATCGTTTTCCCAGACCCTGCCTGTTAAAACTCCATTGAAGTGTGTGACCTTTGCCTCGTTAGGTTGTTATACAGCGCAATGTATGTGGCATGTATGGATTCTCTCATTTCCTGGTGGTTTCCTCGGTTCACGGTGACTGCTGGTCATAATTAGTTACTTACACCTGTATTTTGTGGGAAAGGATTCTGTGGGTCCATCTAAATATCCTGGTTAACATTGCGTGTGAAAACTGCTCATCCTGTGTGTGTGTAGACTATCTGAGGAATGGTTGCTTGATGTCTTACTTACATAAGTGAGAACGGCTGTCATTCGCGCAAAAATTGTGTCCATTAGCATGCAAAGATTGTGTGGCCAATGCATGCCTAGACTGCAGAGTGTCGTGGGTTCGAATCCCACCCAGGGCAGCTTTTCTTCTTTTCAGAAAGAGCTGTCCTGGGTGTAGTTGACTTGTTTTGCCTTGCCTTGCCTTTCTATATACCTCGCTACCAAGTTGTTGAGACATGCAAAAGGTCCACTTGTTTGAAGTTTGTGCACCAACATTACGTCATAGATTGACTGTATATAGTGTTCTCTATTCCCATTACAGAGTCTTCAGAAGTGCCCCGACGGAAGGCAGCAGCAGCTTTTACTCACTCTTTATCAACGACGCAGACATATTCATGTGATGTATATACATACGTAATATAGCACCCATATATGTTGTATGCCTGGAGACTCTTTTCTGTCAATGTTGTATATTATACCATTTCACCACCATGTATATATGTACGTACATGTCTGCAAAGTGGAGAAGGGTAATCAACAAAATGCCCAAGCGAAGCAAGCCCGTCCATCGTCTGAATGCAGAATTCTTGTATGTGTGATGGGCACTGCGCATACCGTAACGTTCTACGTGATTCTATACGCATAAAAAAAATTTTGCAAGCTTGTTCGCCAAAATATGCGGGGCATTTGTGTTTGAGTAAAATACTTGATGTTGTTAATGTAGGACAGTGATGTGAATGAGCAATTGCAATTATGGATACAGTGTCATGTTTCTTTCCGCTTGGACCCTCCGAACCCAGAGAATCCCATTAGGGCGGCCATTTCAGGGTCCACCTCTTCTTCCTCTCCCTCTCCCTCCTCTGCCTTCCCCCTCCCTCTCTTCTTCCTCTCCTTCCTCCTCTCTCTCCTCTGCTCTTTCATCTTCTCTTCCTGCGGCAGTAGATACACACCATTCCATTACCCGTTAGAGCATTAGACTTGCCCTAAACTTTGAGTGGAAATTACTCATCATTTTCCCAGACCCTGCCTGTTAAAACCCCATTGAAGTGTGTGACCTTTGGCCTCGTTAGGTTGCTATACAGCGCAATGTATGTGGCATGTATGGATTCTCTCATTTCCTGGTGGTTTCCTCGGTTTTATTTCCGACACGCAATATGTGGTAAGTTCCCCTCAAATATATGACTGGTTCATGAGACTAAAGCACATACCTCTTCCTTGAGTTCTTTCATTCTTTCTTGAAAATCTATAGAACAGAGATTATCATGCTACGTTGTTTTGGCCTGGAGGTTGACTCCATATCTTTACCGTAGGATTTCTTCACTTCTTCTCTTTTCTTCTTGTTGAACTCAAATCTCTTTCTCACCTGTTCCAGTGAGGATTTTTCAACTTTCATGGACATCCCAAGGTTTCTTTGGTCTTTTGAAGGAAGGAGGGAGAAAGGGTAGAGGGAGAAAGGGTAGAGGGAGGCGAGGAGGGAGGGGAGGAGGGAGGGGAGAGGTAAAAGAAGGAGATGGGGAAAGGAGAGAGAAGAGAGGGGGCAGGGACAGAGAGGGAGGGGAAGGGGGAGGAGAGACGAGAGAGAGGGAGGAGAGGGAAAGAAGAGAGGGAGAAAGGGAGGGAGGGGAGGGAAGAGCACACTATCTCCTTCTAACAAGAGAATTATTCCCTGTGACTCGTTCAACATAATCCCAGGCGGCCAGCCAAAAGCCCATCAATTAGAGATCCAATTACACGCGCCATCTCATCTGATCCCACTTCCACCCCTGTGCCACGCTGCATGGGAAAATGTGCCCGGTGCAAAAAACCGTCCACCGCTGTCCCACACTCTATCGCTGGAGCTATCAAATAATCCGTCGTCGTCTGCCAACGCAGAAGTGAATGTAGTTCCGTAATTCAATAAGACCGGCCCTTTTCATAGGAGCTGGCCCTACAGCCAAGACTGGACTACTGCTTTCCTGGAAATCACCTTTTGTAGTTGCAATGATATGTGGTCGCGAAGGGAAGAGTGTGAAATACATTTCCGAGACCTCAGGGCTGTGGCAACACATATTATACTGATATCAGTCTGTGCCTGTCTGTGTCTAGCTGTCCATGAACCACACCGATGATAGGATTGTTAGTTCTAAACACAGTACATTTTTCCATTAGGGCATTTTGGCAAGCGCGAAAGCAAACAAGTTAATGGTGTGACATCTGGACTTGACGCAGTTTGCACAGTGTGACCATCATTGTAGATAATTTACACCTAGTAGATGTGGAAAAGTCACGCATTTCCGATGACTAGCTAGACTCACCCCGCTCGCCAACAAACAGGTAATTTTACTACCAAACACTACCTAGCAGCTAGCCACTACCAGTAGCTGGCACAACATGTCGGTACAGTTTGTGGAGGCTTACGTTTTCGGCCGTTGATGTGGTCCAAAAAGTTGATGGAGTCCTTCACGACACAATCACATACATTGCAGTAGTACCTACAAGTCACACACATTACTATCAACTAGCGGTGGTATATAAGACAATCAGATACAGGGCAACCTTAAGAATAAAATTGGACGTATTCTTATAACACAAGTGTGCTTTCCAGAGTATGATATTGAAGGACGGTGAGTGGTACTCAGAGGGAATTGGGAAGAGCTGCTTCTCTCTGGGAATTGTAGCTCAGTGCCATAGTGCATTTATGATGCTTGAGTTCGACTCCCAACAAAACTAAACTTAGTTCTCCCCACCCCCGGCCTGTATATTTTCACCATCCTTCCATTATAATGTGTGCTCTATAGAGTATAATATCCAACAATAAGAGGTTCCACGGTAAATATGTACAGAAAGGTCCGTAGCTGCTAGCTGAACCAAATAACGTACCCTCCAGTCTGAGATTGTGGCGTGTCTCGAGTGATGATGAGGGTCTTCCCCAACTTGGAATCCAAATCAACCTAAACGGTGACGTCGTTCACACATACTCTGTGGTGCTGGAACGAGACCGGATTTGCTAACCTTATATTCTCTCCGTTTCAACAGTTCCCTCTGTACTGGTACTGATGAACCTACAAATAACAGTCAGTTTTAGGTAAATCCCTGACAGATACTTTGTGAGGGCATGATTCTTATATCTAGGGAGTTGATAATGCCTGCAAATGTTTTATAGAGAACACTTTTGAGGGCGGTGCTTAATTAAGCCGTTAAGCTCTTCTTCCCTTTGTACCAGTGTTCCGCCATACTATGTTGAACTTTACCGTGGTGATACATTACCGTGGTGATACATTACCTTTCTTGTCTCCTTCTTTCTCTGCCTTGATCCTGTCCTTGGCCATCTTCTCGAACGTGGTCGTGTCCCACGTCCTCCTGAACCCGTCACTGGTGCCCAGCTAGGGGAATGGAGAGCGGCGGGAGGGGGGATAAGGGTGACAATAGGTGAAGTGGGGGAGAGGGTAATACTGTATAGAAGCATGAATTGGAGAGATATTCTTGTGTTCTACCTACTATTCACCTCTGAATCGTCTTTACTGGACGTGGCCATCACTTCCCCTCTTCCCTGTCCTCCCTGTCCTCCCCTCTTTTTCTCGGTAAACCGTTCTCGTCCTGATTTAACCCCTTTAGGTCCGAATATTGACCCCGTGGAAAAGGGTCGAAGGTCGCAAGCAGCATCTAGCTCTCTTTGTTTTGCTCTTTCTCCAGCGAATATCGCCGAGTGTGGGTATGATATGCACCTATTTACTCTGCAGTAAGACCCATGTGTCTATTGCAGGGCCTTGTAACGCGGTGGGGCACGAGGGAGTCCGGGATATGGCGGAGAGCGAGGAAGAGAGCGACTTTGCCAGCGCAGAGAGCGAGCAGGTATGTACGTACGTGTCCCACTATCCCCAAACACAGCTTGTGTAGTTAGTCTGTATCTTCTCTACGTCTGTTTCCATACGTGACCTTTGCCAGTGTGCTCCAAAAACAGAAATACTCAGTCCAGAAATGTTTAATTAATATTCACTTCCTCTGCATATTTTCCCAATCACAGTGCGCCCCTATTATTTGGAGTCTATTCCATATTATCCTAAAACACAAAACACGCAAACCAATGGTGTGCTGTAGTTTACTGAGGGACGTTGGCATTTTGTGATACGCTGACGCACGTCTGCGTCACTGGGCCGCAAAGAGTTAATACAACTTTGTTGTGCAAGTTTCAGATATCCCTCAACTTATTGGACGTGCATACACAAGAAGCCTCTATATAAAGTATGGGTGGGTATGTATTGGTCATCATTCGATAGGGGGCATGTCCATATAGATGGGGACCTGTACCTTCAAAGATGAAGTACACCACGTGGTGCCAATCACGTAGTAAAACGATAGGAGCTGTCTAACCAGTGTATGTTTGTTCCCTGGAAACACCTTGTTTGTTATTTTTAAGTGCCTGTTTGCTCAGTTCGTGGCGTTTAAGGTCAGACGTTCCCTTTACGTCGCATCGCATTTTGTGATACGCTGACGCACGTCTGCGTCACTGGGCCGCAAAGAGTTAATACAACTTCGCTGTGCAAGTTTCAGATATCCCTCAACTTATTGGACGTACATACACAAGAAGCCTCTATATAAAGTATGGGTGGGTATGTATTGGTCATCATTCGATAGGGGGCATGTCCATATAGATGGGGACCTGTACCTTCAAAGATGCAGTATATACACCACGTGGTGCCAATCACGTAGTAAAACGATAGGAGCTGTCTAACCAGTGTATGTTTGTTCCCTGGAAACACCTTGTTTGTTATTTTTAAGTGCCTGTTTGCTCAGTTCGTGGCGTTTAAGGTCAGACGTTCCCTTTACGCCGCATCGCATTTTGTGATACGCTGACGCACGTCTGCGTCACTGGGCCGCAAAGAGTTAATACAACTTCGCTGTGCAAGTTTCAGATATCCCTCAACTTATTGGACGTACATACACAAGAAGCCTCTATATAAAGTATGGGTGGGTATGTATTGGTCATCATTCGATAGGGGGCATGTCCATATAGATGGGGACCTGTACCTTCAAAGATGCAGTACACCACGTGGTGCCAATCACGTAGTAAAACGATAGGAGCTGTCTAACCAGTGTATGTTTGTTCCGTGGAAACACCTTGTTTGTTATTTTTAAGTGCCTGTTTGCTCAGTTCGTGGCGTTTAAGGTCAGACGTTCCCTTTACGCCGCATCGCATTTTGTGATACGCTGACGCACGTCTGCGTCACTGTGCCGCAAAGAGTTAATACAACTTCGCTGTGCAAGTTTCAGATATCCCTCAACTTATTGGACGTACATACACAAGAAGCCTCTATATAAAGTATGGGTGGGTATGTATTGGTCATCATTCGATAGGGGGCATGTCCATATAGATGGGGACCTGTACCTTCAAAGATGCAGTACACCACGTGGTGCCAATCACGTAGTAAAACGATAGGAACTGTCTAGCCAGTGTATGTTTGTTCCGCAGAAACACCTTGTTTGTTATTTTTAAGTGCCTGTTTGCTCAGTTCGTGGCGTTTAAGGTCAGACGTTCCCTTTACGCCACATCGCATGCCAAGACCCCATGAATCGCACGGTCCATAAACACACTGCTCCAAATGCAACCGAATATCAGTCGATACACAGCCACATGACCGTATGCGTTGTCTATGGACTGCATGTGTGTACATACCATGGAAAACCACTTATCCATGCAGACGAGCAGTCTCGTGGTAATACAGCCCCCTGCCATCCCAGCCAAACTATTGTTCCCGTCTGTGTTGGCTGCCCTGCCTCTAACGGAAGGAGTTTGATGCTCTAATTATCTTGTTAGCGGTGCACACAAATAGACGTATATGCAAAACTTGCATGTAGTATCCCATGTCAACTATTGGTTATTGTGCTAATGCCTGTGATAGTATTACGGTGCAGTGTATGTTACCATTGGTGAATACACTAACGTATGTATATCGCATGTCCAAATTATTGTATGCGGTACTCTATAATCTTGCTGGTGAGCAAGGCGAGTCTACTAGGGCTAGGGCTGGGGGCACTGTCACCATGTATTGTATTTACGTAATATTCGCAAGTGAAGCAAGGTCACCTATTGAATTGCACAATAAACTGCTATTTGACTACTCCTGTTTAATGACCAAAATGCTTCTAGTAATGAATCTTTGCCAGGGGCAACTGTCTGTAATGTGTCTGCAGGAAGATGAGGAGGAGACAGTTGAGGGAAAAGATGTGAGGGGGAACGATAGAGCTGAGTCTCAGACAGTGGCTGATGAACAGAAGAAGGATGTTGATGAGGAGAGAGAAGGGAGGGGGAAGGAAGGAGGAGAGGGAGGAAAAGGAACGGCAGAAGGGGGAGAGGGAGAAGAGAGGAGGGGGCAAGAGGGAGAGGGAGAAGAAAGAATGGCAGGAGGAGGAGAAGGAGAGATGAGCAGTAAGGAAGGAGAAGGCAGTGAGCAGAGGAAGAGAGCAGGAAATGAAATTGAGGAGGAGGAAGCAGTTCCAGAGACTGTCTCGTCCGTTGAACCGACAGAGACCAAACCTTCAGAGGATATTAGTGGAGGAGAGAAAGATAAGTCTAAGTCTGAAGAGAAGGTCGAGGGAGAGACTAGCACAGTTGAAAGCAGTGAAGATCAACAGAGAGACCGAGAGAGAGACCGAGAGAGTGACCGAGAGAGTGACCGAGCACCGAAGGCAGAGACCACATCGAGAGCAGAGGGTGATGGAGGAGGAGGAGGAGGAGGAGGAGGGTGGGGTGGGGAGGATGGGGTAAGAGTCTGTGGTCCTCAGTATCAACTGTGACCGGATCAGCTCAGGTTCTGGGCCAGAAGGTAACACACCATACTTCTCTACTATTACTTGAGATTTGAGCTGTGAGAGCCAGCGAAGTACTACATGAACTACGACCTTTTAGCAACTGCACACATGGTCAATGCCCCATGTTAAGTTACAGCTAAAATTGGTATATAGGCTTGTTTTGCTCCCCTGTGCATATTTCCCAACCCTTGACTCAAACTAGAATACAACTATGTCTAGAAAAGTAAGTACTATTTGTAAAGGTTTTGACCGAGCTTGTTTGATATGTATGTAGGTGACGGCAGCTATATCGACAGTGGAAGATGCCCTTGGTCTTCCAGCTCCCCAGCAACTGGCTAAAACGGGGGATGGGCAGGGAGAGGAGGGAGAGAGGGAGAAAGAGGAGGGAGGCGAAGGAAAAGAGGAAGAAGGTGGAAAAGAGGAAGAAGGTGGAAAGAGGAGAGCAGAGGAGTTAAAACCCTAGCCAAGCTGGCTGAAAGTAAGCAAGAGGGACTAATTTTTGCTGCTTGATATTTGTATGCTTTTCTTGAGCTTAAAGACGGCTGTTTCTATTACCGCTCTCCAGAGGTGGCTGAAGGTGACGACCAGTCTTTGTGTGGTCCCGATTCCAGTCCAGCCGGTCCCCAGGTGGAACCGGAATCTGGAGGGCAGCAGGACGAGTCTGCGCCTGGCACTATCGGAGCTTTCTCTGGATTTTTCTCAGGCATTGCCAGCGTAGTCGAGCAGAGGGTTAGTTACCACACACTATAAGAGTAACTCAATTCAAAAATTGACCCTCTGAACACCTCTCTAAAAAGGACAGTTTGCTCTGCCCCATACTAATACATTAGTGTATTTTACTACCTCTGAATAAAGGACAGTTTGAATAGTTGTCTCTTATTCAGAGATCTCTCTGTATAGCCGGAAATGTTGGGAGATCGAAAAATTTGGAAAACGGACCCTCCGAATGAATGACACCACTCTAAAACGGACAGTTTGCTCTGCCCCATACTAACACATTAGTACATTTGTCTGAACAAGGGAAGGCTCCAACTAATGGTGTCCCCTTTTCTGGAGGTTTAACTGAAAGCAACACTCTAGCACACAAAAGAACGTGGCACTATCGGAGCTTTCACTGGGCATCGACCATGCTAGCCGTTCAAATTTCGTACAGTTTTTATCTCTGGGGGACATGTGGAAATTTGACCCTCCTGAAATAGGCTTGGCTTAGTGCTTTTGGTACGACATGCCATATCGCCCTGCTAGTGTGTCCCCTGCTATATGCCATATGAGTATACATAGAGGCTGTTTGTACAGACAACATACATGAGGTCCTGCCCCACCCTTTCCGTCGTAATTACCTCTGAATGGAGTGGGTGCGTTCACAAGGTTAGCATCTTTATGGTGACATGTTGACCCGGTGGGTGGGCGTATAAAGGTACATACGTAGCTGATGTTGTATTTCGAGTTTTCCGTATTTGGGAAACAAGATTTTCCTGAGAAACTTGCGTGATTCGTTGGCATGTATTCGTCCGTACCCACAGAATATAAAGGCCATGGTAAACTTGTTATGTACATGAGATAGTCGTATACAATTCATGCCATGCAACGTGTCATACAGAAATGCCTTGTGTACTTTTGATGGATCGCCTGTCATTTTTCAAGTTCCATGAGATTTTATCTCAGCAACAAAAGTTGCGACATACTTGTCTTGGCCTTTACAAACATACATACAGTATTATGAGTATAGTTGACACGTACCTGCGGAATGCATTACAATTCATCCCTGTGACGATAATTGGTGAGTACAGAATGTAGCGACCGAGGCACCAAGCTATAATGCTCCCTGTGAGTAACGGCTGTACATCCACAGTTGGGTCACTCCCGCTCGACCAAAAATGCTTAGTAGCATTAATCTACATATTACAGGGGCTCCAGCTAATGAGTGGGGGGCTGGATGCTCTGGAGAACATTGGAAAGAAGACCATGGAAGTTCTGACCGAGGGTGATCCAGGTCAGTGGGAATATAATTATTGCTTTGACTGTATGTAGTTGGAGGGTAGAATAGCAGCATTATCTTGCTGTACTTATTCCTTGACCTATTCCTGTCCATCACCCCCTTCCCTCACTCCCCCTCCCCCCTCATAACGAACTTTCGACGATTTTGCATTTTTTGCAGGAACGTTAATAAAGGAAATGACAAACTAACCATCTGTAATGCTTTGAATGTAGTTGGAGGAGTGGAATAGTGACACATGTCGCTTGTTCTATTCTTATCTTTTTCACTGACCCATCACCCCTTGCCTTCCCTCCCCCGCCTTACGAAGTTTTCGCATTTTATGCAGGAACGTGAATAAAAGAAATGACAAACTAACCATCTGTACTGCTTTGACTATAGTTGGAGGGTGGAATAGAGACACTATCTCGCTGTATATACCTTCCTACATTTTGCTGTCCCATTATATACCCTTTCCTTACATTTCTTCTACAGGTTTTCAAAACAAGAGGAAGCTACTGAAAAGAGAAGCACCGTCACTTTCAGCTGTAAGTATTCACCATGTATGATCACATGACTGTCACGTGACTCTCACATGGTGTGTATTAACTCATTGTCTTGTTTGCTAGTTGCTAAGGGAAGCGCCATCTCTTTCAACCATTAGTATTCACCATGTATGATCACATGACTGTCACGTGACTCACATATTAACTCATTGTCTTGTTTGCTAGCTGCTAAGAGAAGCGAAGGCAGAAGCTGAAGCCAAGCAAAACGAGGTGGTTTAACCCTTTGCAATCTAGCATTCATTCCTCAGTGTGTTTAACCCTTCTGTCACAGGCGGAGACCACCAGTCAACAGAAAGGCCAGGCTCAGCAGAGTTACTCTTCACTCTTTGATGAATATCAAGGTGTAGCTCAGCAGTGTGTCCTTTTTTATGGATTTTTGTGTGACTCGTGAATGCTAAAAAGTTTTAAACTCATGTATTCGCTTACTTTCTGTAACTTTTTCACCACACAACATGAAACTGTTTATGTGCCATGCATCGATCCAGTTTAGTTTCAGTCCACCATGCCTTCCTCTCTCAAGTTTACTAATGTGTACGGAGGTGCAAGCAAACTGTTACACTCTGCAGGTGTGATACATTTGGAGGCTCTGGAACTTCTATCAGAGGAATATGCAGCTAAGGTTGGTCAATACTTCTCGTGTGCAGTCTAAGCTTATAGTCCACTAGTTCATGACCTCATTACAGTAAAACATGTGAATAGGTATAATTATAAGTACACCTGAGGGGACACAAGTAGAAGGCGTACTTTATTCAGAGGTTTGGAGGAAGTGTAATACACTAACGTATTGTTATACAGGGAAGAATCAAGTGGCCCTTGGAGAGAAATGTCTTATTCGGAGGGTCCTTTTTTATGGGTTTCACTGCACTATTCATAGTAACGTCTACTATACTTAGCAACATCTACTATACATAGTAACGTCTGCTATATATAGTAATGCATGTGGCAATGACAAATAATTTTATATACTGTTTAGCTTTATTCAAATAAGCTCAGTTAGCCAAGAGAATGACATACACTTTGACTTTCAAAATATATTATTCTCAGGTTCGTGGATGTCTGCCGTCTCTGACAGGAGAGGAAGGAGACTGGGTGGAGGGGCAGATGGAGCTATTGGACCAGGCTCTTACCATTCGGGAAGATGGAGATGGTGGGTAGAGGAGGGAGGGGAGGAAAGGGAGAGAGAGAGAGGGAAAGGAGTGGGACAGGGTGGACGGAAGAAAGAGATGTTGAGGGAGAGAGATAGAGAGAACAAGAAAGAGTGACATGGGGAAGAGAAGGGAGGGGGAGGAGGTTGATAATGTGACATTTGGTGTCCGCCAGGTCTTGCTGTATTGGACGACGACGGTGGAAAACTCGGGGAAGTTGTAGAGTTGTTTTCTGACGTGACTCCAGCCGTTAAAGTTGAAAAACTAGTCAAAGTACGTTAACCCACACTTCCCTTGTTAAGCGGTAAATATATAGTGTGGTTGTTCATTCAATACTTTGCATTATGCGTGCCATAAGTTAAACGTAGCTCTATGGGTAAGCACAGTGCATTTGACACCAGGGATGTGAGTAAAATATACTGCTATACTTCTGCATTTTTTTATAGAGGGTGATCAGGTTTTGTTTTGTATAGATCAGTACCTTTTGGCGGGAAAAACTAGAGACTATGACAGTGTCATGTGATGATGAGAGAGACGCAACTGGTAATACAGAGGGAACGGAGGAAGGAGTGAGCAAAGAGGGGGGAAAAGGAGCGGAAGGAGGGAAGGAAGATGAAGAAGAGGAGATGGAAAGTGAAGAAAAGGAAGAATCTTCTGAAGCAGAAAATAAAGATAATGCGAATAAACTGAGCAAAGAGGTAAAGTAAACCTTTCTGTGCTGAGGAATAAAAATTTGGGGTGAAAAAAAGGCGCCCGATAAGGGGCTCGAACCCTTGACCCTCAGATTAAAAGTCTGATGCTCTACCTACTGAGCTAACCGGGCAGCTGACGTGATTGTTGCATACATTTTAGTCTAGTGTTAGGACATCTCTACCCACTGTGTACTGTAGCACCCACCGTGCAGGTTTATACAAATGGACTCCGCGGACTAGTTCAGCTGACTTCTGCCAGTATTGAAGTGTTCAGGAAGATAGCAGAGGTTTCTCTACTACCACAGGTCTGACTTGCATCTTGATGCCAGCAAAGCATTGTCTGAATTGCACGATTTTTCTAGTGACAACAAGCAACCGTAATGTTTTATAAATAAGCGAAACATAGTTGCACTGTTCAGCTCACTCACCATTTTATGTGTTGCATGCACAGCGAAGGTTGCAGCAAGAGAGTTATTCAAGTAAATCGACAATAGTCCCATCAATCAGCAGTACCGTGCATACATGTAGGGTTAAACATTTCTGATGTGCTGAGGGTTTGCACTTGCTATAAATATCCAGTTTGTCTCTTTTCATAGTTCAACTGTATTGTCTATCTATGCACAGGCAACTAAAGCCGATACAATTGGACAGGCTAAGAGATTCAACAGGTATGTGTATGTACATATATACATACACCTCTTATGCGACATACACATATTTACTCTCTTTCACAGACTGACGGTGCTGGTTTCCGGGGAACTCGACGCACTAGCCTCCGTCCATGCTGAAGTTCTAACCGACCTCGTATGTTCTGTCTCTATCTGTGACCAATTAGCCGTAATGTAAGCGTGCGTGTAAGTGCTGGCACGGACAGCTTTCTTCACCTCAGAATTGTGTCAGGCGTTATGGTTTTCTGTCCCACAGGGCTTAGAAGATATCAATACTACCATTACTGCTCTGTACATGGAGGTAAGCTGAAGGATAAGTGCATTTTACCCCAGACAGGGATCTCCAGCTCTGATGTAATGTGATGTAATGTTTTGAAATGGGAGATACCCTGGGGTTTCCCCTCCTGACACACCTTCCCTATGCCTGCTGTATACAGTCCTCCAACAGTGTGTCGTATGTCCAAGACGCCCTCCAGCTCCTGAAGCCAGTGCTGCAGTACACAGTCTTGCAAGAGGTGGCACTGAATCAGCCCAGCCATAATGTACACTCCAGATCATAGCTAACCATGTCAACCTGTACGGCTACATTCAATATCTATCCCCCAGCAGATTTCTCTCTCTCTTTCTCCAACTAAACACTAGCCAATAAAGAATGTTTCATTTGTGTTGTGAGCTGTGTATGAATATCGAAAATGATTTTTTCGCTCGGACAGTCGATAAAAATAAGTACGGTCTATATAGGTGTTTACTCGGCACCGCTCGCTGAGCTGCGACAGAGAAATGGCCGGAATATCTTTCCTGGACCTCCTGTTTGCCGAGGCGATAGCCTCAGGCATGGCGAGGGAGGCTCGAACTAGAGAGAGGCCCCCGCCTGACAACTTCTTCCTCCTTCCCCGCGACACGCGGGCATGGTTGCAGATCAAGGAGGCCAGCAAGAAAGAGAACATGGTCATAGCGGTGGAAGTGACCGACGACTCGAACGAGAACTCTCAGCGGCTCTTCTTGGACCTGGCGCGAGAGTACGACGGAATGCCGTTTCTGAGGGTCAAGATAGGGCTTGGACGCACCTTCGACCAGGTAGGCATGTGTCTTCATGTTTTGCGTGCAATGCACTTCTACATGCAAGATAAGATATTTTCCCTCGTTTCTCCTTCTCTGCCTTTTCTCTTCCTCCTCTCCCTCTCTCTGCCTGACATGAAAGCTCCGTGAAGACCTGGGAGGGATAAGATACACACCTACCTTTGTCTTCGTGTTCTTCCACTCGGAGGGAATCCAGCGAGCCAAGTATGAGGGCACTGCCGAAATTCAGCAAGGCATCAGGTCTGGCCAAATGAAGGGAGTCATCAGAGAACTGCAGAAGAGAAGGTACAAATTACAACATACATAGTCCCAATGTAGTGCTACATATGTACACGTACCTCAATGCACACTGGGTAAGTTGTACATACCTTGACACTTTGTTTCGGTCCAGTTCTGTATATATATCTAAATTTTGCTGGTCCGTCTTATGCGGAAGTTACGTAAGAGTGTATTTTGGTATAATAATTATGCAGTTTACGTCACATAATAATTGAAGGGGTCAGAGCCACCAGAGTGAGCTATACAACTCCTTGCCGGTTTGTTCTATAAGGACATTTAGAACATAATTTGAAGGAAAACCGGCGAGAGTTGTATATTGAGGGTTGGCTCACTCTGACTCCACGACCCCTTCAATTATGAGTGGTGATGGATTGCAGGGTGCAGGTGAAGATGGCGGAGAATCTGGCAGAGGAACTGGCGTCTCACGTGAAGGACTCCATCGACGAGAGAGAAACCAAACTTCGCAGGGAGTACGAGCAGAAACTGAGAAGGTTGGTTAGTAAGGTCTGTTGTATAGAGAAAAAAATTGTTCAGGGAGAGAAAAAATTTGCAGAGAACTTTTTTGCAAATTTTTAGAGCCAATTTTGAACGTACATATTCTCTGCGAATTTGTCAGCGGGCTAGGATACGGCACTAAGGGACCAGGTTTTCCCACAAAATGCTAGTTGGTTGCCAAATAACGAAAAGTGAAAGTTACACTTTTATGTGTGAATTCTTACTAATACATTGTGGTGTGTGGGTGTTTATATGGTTGCTTTATTCACTGTTGTAGTGTACATTAATTCATGTATCAAATTTGCTGTGGTATGCCCTTGTGTAATGTGCTGTGTTAGGTATGTACTTGTGGTATGAATTTGCGTAGACTGATGACCTTACTGTGACCTCTAACTCACGCACACACAGGCAGCTGGAGGAGAGGGAAAGGGCACAGAGAATGGAGGAAGAAAGTAAGAAGAGGGAGGAGGAGGAGAAGGCAAAGAAAGAAGAGGAAGAACGCCGTAAAGAGGCAGAAAAGAAACGACAAGTCAGTAAACCTGTACAGCATGTAGCTCTACCAATATCTCTATAATACACGTGGTACATGTATTCTAGCGAAGTAGAAATGGAACCTAAGACGCATTTATCTTGTAGTTTTTAAACCAGTGTTTAATAACCCTTTGGGCACCATGGGTATCTGCTTGAATAAGCAGAAATTGATGTATAAAGTATTAGCCCCTAGTAGTATAACCCCCATATAAATTCTTATTGACTTATGGAGGCTCTGGACACATTAATCTGTCCGCGGCTGGTTAAGTGTATAGTTATGTGTTAACACTTGTATACTGTTTTGTGTGTGTCGTGTGGTGAAGACGGCAAAGGAGCGGTCGGAGAAACGGCCACAGTACCTGCAAGAACTCCTCAAAATGGATCTGGACTCCGTGCCCGTCAGAGACATGAAGGCCGTCATGATCAAACTAGGGGTATCCCCCCATGACTGCTTCGAGAGAAAGGTCTCTATAATCTTAATAAGTCATTCAGTGTAACAAATGGTAATGCGTGAAGCTGCTAAATAGATCACATTGGGCCTATATAGTCTTCTTTGTCTGATCAGCTATTTGGAGTATATAGAAAGTTTGAAGAACTTACAAAGTATCTGTCCTTACTGTAGGATGTATGTTTGTTCTCCCTACACTGATTGATAACCCATGGCAATATACTTTGTAACTTGTAACTGACAAATTATAATTTCATGCATGAATCACAACTTTAAGAAAAACATAGTCAGCTGGCAAAGCATGGCACTGTAAAAACTCACAAAGGTATGTATAATGTGTTGTGCTGTAGGACTTGAAGAAGAAGTTGATGGAGAATGTTCCGGAACTGAGGAGGAAGATAGAGGAGGAGCAGAGGAGGGCGTCCACCGCATCCAGCGTCTTCTCCTCTGTCAACTCTCAGAGCAGTCTCGCCGGCAGTTTTGACGGTGAGGGAGAGGAAAAGAGAGGGGTGTGTGCTGAGCCACACAGAACCAAACCCTCCTCTCGAGAAGTAGAAACCGTGATGAATTGCCTTGCAACTGCCGTATTCAAGCATAACCTTAGAACAGGCCCTATGTTGCTCTAATCACATGCACACCCATTGATGCACAGACCCATTTGGCCAGCACTTTTGAATGGCAAAGAGGTACATGTATATATGTATTTAACTACTCCGGTTTTCAAGTAGAATGCCTGAAACAAGCCCCTATATAGCACCGACACTGCACAGCTTGTAAAGTTTTGGATTGTCCCCTGAATTTGTCCACTGTTGGCTGGGAATGCACAATTTTCAGTTTTGATTCTGTAATTACTACCCTGGAACCTTCTTGTAAGGGACTTGTTCACTTAAGCAAAAACACACTATCATACTAGTGTACAGTAGCTGTAGGAACCTGCATACTACGTATTTCAGCACCAAGAAGCGTGTCCCACCTCCTATATACTGTATATAGCAGAATTAAAGTACATATATGTGCTATACAATGTGGCCTTTTGCTCTGTCTGATTTGGTGCAGAGAACTCAATGAGTGATCGCGAGAGGGCCGACAAGTTGGAGAGAGAGAAGAGGGAGCTGGCGGAGAGGTTTGAGAGGGAGAAGAAGAGACTGGAGAAAGAACTAGAGGTGTGTAGTACGCAACCTGTGTCTACTGCATTCACACTGTCGTATGGACCCATCATATGATACCCATACATTGAGACTGTTGTCTCGGACAAAACCATGTGTACATTTCCCTTCCCTTTATACCATAGTAGAACCTCCGATACAGGACACCACGAATGGAGGACACAATAGGAAATACCTCTCAATAAAGGACACACTTTGACCTCCCAAACATTCACTTTGTACACATTTTAACCTCCAAAGAGAGGACAACCTTCCTGAAATTCCTGGTCCCAACATGTCCACTGTCCACTGAATGGTTCCACTGTATATATAATCACAGAGGAAAACGACGGAGCTGCAGAGGACCCAGGATGACCTCAGGCGGATGGCAACTCGTGCCAACAGTGCAGAGGAGAAGTTCCTGGAGCTGAAGAACGCCGCGGGTCAGGGGAGGAAAGGCTCTGGCTATTCCAATGAGCCCCCGAAGCCAGTCCCAAAGGTACGTGTATAGTTGGAGCCACCGTTTATGGGGATGCTGGGGATGGTTTTTAAAGCTAAAAATTCCTACTATTTTTTCCTCGTGACAGTATTTCATTTGTGCAAGGCAGTGCATTAGCCTTGCTCACCAGGAACTATTCTATCTCCTCTTTACCTCTCTCCCTCCCTCTCACCCTCTCTCCCCTCCCATACGCTCGCCGCTCATCCGTCTCCCTCCCGTCTCTCCCTCCCTTCTCTCCCTCCCTTCTCTCCCTCCCTTCTCTCCCTCCCATCTCTCCCTCCCATCCTCCTCCTCCCATCCTCTCCCTCCCTTCTCTCCCTCCCTTCTCTCCCTCCCATCCTCCTCCTCCATAGCCTCGTGCTATATCCACAGGCAGTATTGACGGCTCCCAAGCCCAAGTCCAACAGCTAAAGACCGAGTTACTGGAGATGAGAATGCTCTACACTACAACCATTGAAGACTATGATATTGTGAGCTTCTCGGCATACCAGCATTTATACCTTCAAACCCTCGCTATACATAACCCCTAATATAGGTCCAGGTATTGTTCTAGCACATGTGAACTTTAGCATTTTAGATAATCAAGGCAGTTGTGCACGTCGTGTGGGTACAGCTACCTGGGTACAGGGTTCAACGGCAGTTCCCACTGTTTCCATCTACCATATTAATACTGCTGGGGGGGGAGGCTTACATATAGCTCACTCTCTACAATGTGTGATTTACGCATGTGATCCATTTAACTAAGTACTTGTACAGGTATGTGTCTTGTTCCACATAATCATATGCGTAGCTGGGTCCGATATTTGACGGCGGGGAGGAGGGGTTGGTGCTGAGAGCTCAGTGCAAGAAGAAAGGTCTGCCTTTCCCTGACAGAGTGTATGCTATGAAGGTCCTCACCAACTACTTCAAGTCACAGACCGCCACTGAGGTAAGCTATACCTTTGTATGAGGGCTATGTCCATTACGGTTGGTTGCTAAAAAAGAGAAATTGATGACACCTTTATTAGGGACGGTGGGGAAGAAATGGAGGCGAGATAGGCATTGGTGCAGCGAGATACATTGCATTACTATTCCATACTCCAACTGTAGTCAAAGTATTCAGGATATTTGGTTTGTTTCTTCTTTCAAGCACGTGTCTAGAAAAAAAGCAAAATGGTTGACACCCTTATTGTGGGGGGGTGGGATAATAGGGGACGCTGAAATTGAGGCGAGACAGGGATTGGTAAAGCAAGATAGGGATAGGTGCAGCGAGATACATTACATTAATATTCCATACTCCAACTGTAGTAAAAGTATAAAAAGTAGTTGGTTTGTTTCTTTTTCCACTCATGTGTCTATAATAAATGCAAATCCGATGACACTAATATTGGAATTGGTAAAGGGACAGCGAAATTGAAGTGAGATACGATAGATACGAATAGGTGCAGCAGGATACATTGCATTACTATTCCATACTCCAACTGTAGCTAAAGTATTCAGTATAGTTTGTTTGTCTCTTCTTCCACTCATCTGTCTACAAAAAATGCAAAACGGTTGACACCCTTATTAAGAGGTAAGAGGAAAATAGAGTGGTATATTAAGCAAGTCTGGCGGTTGAAGAACCCTAAGTATAGTTGAGGGAAGGGAACATTGGTTCTTTTTTTGTACCTTTTGCACACATATACACACATTTTTAAAGAGCCTTTGCTGTATAGCTAGCTGCCCGTAAATCTTCTGAATCTTTGACTCCACAGCAGCTATAGTCTGTGTTCCACTCCGTTCCAGGCTCGTGTTCAGTTCCAGAATGAGTACGAGATCCTCTGCAATCTGCCGCCTCACCCCAACATCATCCACATGTACGCATTCTTCTTCGACCGAGCCAACCCAGACGTGTCCCCAGAGTTCAAACGCGTTGGGAGAAACGTGCGGACAATGTCACTGTTTCTGTTGATGGCCGAACACCCAATGTCTATGAAGGAGCAGCTCGACATACTGACTGGTGGACAGGGACCAAAGGTTAGGCAGCTATTAAATCACAGTTAAGTTGACAATAATATGTTGCATTGCCCTTTCGAGATGTGCCGCGCATAATTCAGAAACTTTGTGCAAAAACATGCTATTTTCTCACCCCCCCCAGCCAGGGAAAGTGGTACAGTGGGTCAAGGAACTTCTCTCCGGGCTCTGCTTCTTACACTCTCACCAGGTATTGACATCATTCTCTCACCTACTGGTATTATAGGATAAGTCTAGCCATGTGTATAGTATTCACTGCCAATATATTAACTATACTGCATCATAATTATTATAAAGAATTGAGGACTTGCTATGCTCTGCTAAGGACGTAACTGAAGAAGAAGAAAATATTTCTCTGAATTAGTGGGTGTTCCACTAGGACATAATACATTATGTAGCTTTCTCTGAAGTTTAACAATACTGTGGTATATAACTAAGGTCCCAATGTTTTCTACTGCCTCAGATAGTACACAGAGACTTGAAGCTGGACAATCTACTGGTGGATGACAACGGCAGAGTAGTCATCAGCGACTTTGGAAAAGCCATCATTCTCGAAGATAACATGAAGGTTTCTTACAACCATGGTGAGTGGTCTTCTTTACTGTAGTTGAGTTGAGGCACAATTTTAAACAATAGCTACGTACTGCACACTGCCAAGTATATACAAGTGTTGAATGGTTTTTGGAAGCGTCCAAAATAATACTGGTGAGAGGAAAGGAAAGCATGCCTATAGCTCTTGTGACTCTCAAAAATTAATAATACAAAAGGTGTTGAGGTTTGAACTGTTAGCAGGAATTCATCCGTTTCAGGGTTCAGTGCAGGTGGAAACACAGCTCATCTGGCCCCAGAGATCCTCAACGCCAAACCTGGTCCCAAGAAGTACTTGAACTACAGCAAACAGCCTGTCTGGGCAGCTGGGGTCCTGGCTTACGAACTGGCAGGTATAATTATATAGACAGTGTAAGGCAGTACCACCCAAATCTTGCAAGAGCACACACTGTGAAGAATTTTGTCGGGGGAATCTATTTTGTAGCGGAATGAAATTCATGCAACAATTTGACCAACAAACTTTTTGCAAGGAAAACTATTTATGTGTGTAGATGGTGCTCTTCCACAATATATTATATACACACTTCCAGTGTTGTCCCTCAGTATTTTACCACTATAGTGTGGTAGCTACATATAACGTAAATGTTTGATGATCCTCAGGCCACAAGAACCCATTCCAGTCAGGCACCATAGACCAGCGCAGCTACGGTGTCCAAGACGTCCCACCACTCAAGTACACCTACAGCACTCACTCCAAGTTTTGCCAGTCGCTGGACAGCCAGCTGGGCAGCATCGTTCGTGCCATGATCCAGGCAGAGCCCAGCGACCGACCAACCCTTCAGGACTGCCTCAGGAGAGTGTCTCCCATTGCCTCCTGAAAAAACTGCCCCAACAACTTGTTCACATCATGTATTTTATAGCTCTTGTGGTTTTCTATAATATTATTAGAACAGAATGTTGTTGAGAGTGATGTTTTTGTAATCATGTATGATTATTATAATTATAAAATCTTTTCTTTTTAGAAGGGGGCATTATCCCTGCAGAAAAAATCATCCATAGTAAGAGTGTAGTTGGACGGCTAATGTCTAGTTACACAGCTGTTGGTTCTCTTCCGTTCCTCCTGCAGTTTCTACTGGAAGCGGCGATGCTGTCTCTCCAGCTCTCCACGTCGGGAGGAAATGGCGGACTCTCCGTCTTCATCTCTCCTCCCAGCCACGTCTCCATGACCGAAGACACAGTCGTACCTCGGACTGCCAACTTCGCCAGGTTTATGGCGCACACAAACCCGTCGCTTTTCCGCGCCATCCGCTGTTCCACGTACACGGCGTCTTCGTCCCAACACAGCACCTTTGTCCGTAGCACAAACCTCTGGAAAAGCGATGAGGGAGCGTCTGTAGCGGAGGCAGTGCGCGGCCAGCGAAAAGGAACCTCCGTTTCTCAGCACAGCTGCGTACACGCCTCGCTCAAAGAACATTCCCACCCGGCCGAAGTCCATCTCTCGCAGGTACTTGGAGTTGTTCATGTGCAGCATGTGGTCCAGATCCGAGGGCAGGACGATCCCGTCCAGGTCGTACGGAGCAAAGAGCTCCTCCTTCGACCTTCTCCTTCCCACTGACCCTCTGTTTCTCTCCATCTTTACGTAGAGCACGGCCATCCTTGCAAAGTACCAGACGTCGATGCAGGCAAAAGCCAGAACAAGGATTGGCGCAAGCCACCAAAGGAGCGCTGCCATCACTTCTTTTGAGCTCAGCTGAGCTACATGCTCCGCCCACATAGCCCATGCGCATGCGTGTTACGGATAGTCACGGGCTCATTCCCAGTCGGCCGGGGTGTGGAATCTAATTTCCGACGGAGAGAGGCTGGGTCACGTGTTTATGAAGTCGCCGAGAGATAGAGCGATCTTTCAGCTCCGTTTCTGCAGGTATCGCTGAGCTGCCTAGAGGGAGATCTTAGGGAACACTTATTTGCACGGAGAGTCTACTGGTGATGGAGTGGTGAGGCTGTGGAAGTAAGAACGAGCCAGTGAGTTCTAAAGAAAAGGGGTGGGTCCGCTGGAGTCTGTTGTGGATACGAACGTAGTTTTCGGCGTCCAAAGCGATGCTGGGGAATATTCTAAGCGAGCGGAAGACTGTGTAATAGTTAATCGCTAATACTGCGATCACGTGGAAGTGTGCGCTGGACAAAGTAGGATACTGGCTGGTTGTTGGCTGATTGTCTGCGGTGGTTTTGAACAGCTGAGCACTGATGGATGAGCTTATCCTAGATAGATGATCACGGTGTCAATGCATATTGCGACTGCACCGAGGGCAACAAAGATATTAGGTCTGTTGTGGAAACAAACAAAAACGCTGTGCTGGCAATACACTCAGACTCTGAGTGAACCTATATAAATTAATATAATAGTATACCGAGCCATGCCAAAAAAATTTACTGTGAATATCCCTAGCTATAGTGGTGTATGGTGTACTCTATATATTAACCCATATATTCGATATGAGGGGCATAAGAGAAGAGTATATTGCTGGATAAAATGCTCTCTTGCTCTCCAACAGCCATTTCATGTCAGGGAACAGTTAATATCCACTGTTGTAGGGCATGTGTTGTAGTGTATGTATGTACATCATGTACGTCATGTCAATTTCTTGGTAGTTGTTCCAACAACATTTTAAAAAGCCTCAATGCAGAATCAAGTGATTACTGTGTGGTGTTATCTAGGTCCTAACACGGTAATGAACAGTGCGATCTGGTTGAATCATTAATATTCATGATTTATGAACAATTCGCCTAATTATCACCACAGGATGCATGCTTATATCTGCATGTTGTCAAGTCAGCATACCCTCTTTCCTTCTCTATTTCCTTCTCTTCCTCCTCTTACTCTTCTTCTTTTTTCTCCCCTTCCCCTTCTCCTGCTACCCCTCCTCTCTCTTCCCTTTCTCTTCGTTTCTCCTACACTCCCTAACTCGACTGTGTATCAATTCGTAACGAATTCGGTGCTGATTCAAGTTTATATTTCAACTCCTCTATTTTTTATTTTGAGTGGTGATTGTTCGAAGTACCGCAGTCTTTTGTGCAGCATTCTGTCGCACCGTGTGTGTGATAACATATGTCTAACCGTTTTCTCCCAGGGGCAACCACTCTCAATAAGGAAGCACATGTTTTTTCCTGCCAAAGTATATAATATATACTGCAGTACACAGAGCCATGTCAAAGCCGGCATTTCTGAAAGTAGTTTTACTTGGGGATGGAGGAGTTGGGAAGTCGTCTCTCATCCAGAGATTCGTGAGTAATAAATTCGACCCGTCTCTCTTTCACACAATCGGGGTGGAGTTTCTCAACAAGGACTTGGAGGTTGAGGGGGAGAGATATACTCTGCAGATATGGGACACTGCTGGTCAGGAGCGGTTTAAGAGTCTCCGAACGCCGTTCTATAGGGGGAGCGACTGCTGTTTGCTCACGTATGCAATTGATGATCCGCAGAGTTTCCAGAACGTAGCCATGTGGAAGAAGGAGTTTCTCTACTACGCAGACGTGAAGGACCCGGATAACTTTCCTTTTGTGGTCCTCGGGAACAAGAGCGATCTGCTGGAGGAGAGAAAAGTGAATGCCGAGGAGGCCGGGTTATGGTGCGAGCAAAGCGGCGGACTCCCGTATTTCGAGACGAGCGCCAAAGACGCCGTGAATGTGGACAGGGCATTTGTGGCTGCCATTCAGCGAGTGGCGGCTCTAAACCACGCCAGCAACAACATGAAGAGAAACGATTACCCAGTTGACTTGAGCAAAGGTAGCAGTAGGAAGAGTGGTTGCTGTTCGTGAGGATGCCCCTCTCGTTTAGTTCTATTGTGGTGCAGGTGAATGTGAATTTAACTACGTATTGTTCTTGTGCCGTGAAATTATTGAGTTGTGGTTGTAAGATGGCGTGAGCGGCCAATAAACTTTCCTTGCGCATACTGATGCGCATGCGTACGTTCTATGAGCGCGCGCCGTACGTGGGCGTATACGATCGGGGAGGTGTGTGGCTGGAGCGATTTTTGCTGACGCAACAAAGCAGCCATGGACGTGCTGGACTCTCCGCTGGCTAGTCTGTGGTCCCTCATTGTCAGTGCGTCCATGGATGATATCTACATTTACTACTGCTTCGGTAGGTCCACTCCGCCAACAGAAAAAACGATGCTACGCATAGTTACAGTCACCTATGAACTAAACGTGTCTTTGCATGTTGCAGTCTCGCCATTCGTCGGCGTTCTGTTCTTCATACTGGTGAACGTCGTGTTTGGAATACTGGACGTGACTGGGAGACCTCGAGCACTCGTCAAGTACAAGATCCAGGAAGAGAAACCAGTGCCAGTCAGTCACTTACTGTAGCTAGCTCTACGCATTAGGGTCAGGGTCAGAATTGTCTCAGACCGGCTTGCTTAGGAGTAAACGCAGATTACAGCACTCAGTTGAGTTAACACACACATTACTATTTGATACGTAAGGCCACTCCAAGTTGAATTCCGGTTTCTGGTCAGGGCCTTTTCAAGTCAAGATGCAGGACCGGCTCATTATGTCATTAGTCCACTTAGTAATAATGACCACAAAAATTCATAGTGGGGAGACAGGTCAAGTGCAAAGCATGAGTACACACAGCACTATGGGGCGCAGCATGCACTTGTGTGTATACTTAGAGGCAGTATATAAACAGAAAATTAATTGCATTCTTGCAGTGGACCCTATTGTTTCGTTCTAACATTTCTAGATTTAGCCCTTATGTAGTGACATATTCCCTCCAATTCTCTGGCAGGTAAACTGGGAGACGTACTGGAAGACTACGAAAGTGTCGATGTTCAATGTGGTCGTAGTGAGCATCATATTCCAGCATGCCACCTACCCTCTGGTGATGTTGCTAGAGGTGGACATGGGACGACAGCTCCCTTCACTGACTACCACAGTCTGGCAACTCCTTGTCTCCGTCATAGTCGTGGAGATTGGGTTCTATTACTTTCACAGGTGTATATATAGAAAATTATTTCCGTGGGTTAGAGGGCCATCAATAAAACCTTTTTTGGGGAAATTTTGACATAATAATTACACTAGTCTTGGGAAAGAAATCTGCGATTCTCCCAATTTTTCACCACAGTGTGGGCCTTGTTCAATCAGGATACCAATGGAAATGTTCTTCTAGGAGAACATAAATTGCATGCACTGAAAGAGGAAAGGTGTTCCTTTTTAGAGAGGTGTGTCTTCATTTCATGAGGTGTCCTTTAATTAGAGGGAGTCCCACTGTGATAGTAATGCCAAGAACCGCAGACTATTAAACTGTACGATAAGTTAGCACTGCCAACAATACTAATTCAGTACACTTTCGTTACTGTTCACACATGTCTGGTTTATGCACTGGTAGCTGTTTGGTATTCCTGTAAAACAGGTGTACTAATGGTATTTGTCTGTAGGTTGTTGGACCACCCTTTAGTATACAAAACGGTGTATCTCCGTAGGTTGTTGCACCACCCTCTGCTGTACAGACGTATCCACAAACAGCACCACGAGTGGATAGCACCGGTTGCAATGTGCTCCGTTTACTGCCACCCCGTGGAGTATATCCTCAGTAACCTCATACCTGTTGTAGCTGGACCAATGATCACACGTGAGAGATGAAAATGCTCTTTATGTCCTTATGTGTTCGGTTTTTCGTACTGTTCATTTCTCCTTAAGCCATAACCGTCACTGTCATGTCAGCAAACTGGAGAATGAAAAACATTTGCAAACTCACAGCTTAAGGGCTTTGTTGGTTAAGTGCTCTCTTGGGTCAAATACGTTTCCCTAGACATTTTCCCACTATGCCTCACTAGTCTGTTAACTTAGCTCCATTCTGAGCCATTTGTTTATTGGGGGCTACACTATTATCTCTTTAGGTGTGTCGTTTTTAATAAACAGCCCCTACCCTATACTGTGGTGACCTACAAGTTGTGTGTCTTGGTGCAGGTGCCCATGCAAGTGTCGGTCTTCTGTGGTACCTGATGGTCATATTTGCCACCAGTGTCCACCACAGTGGCTACCATTTCCCCCTCCTACCCTCCTCAGAGAGCCACGACTACCACCACTCCAAGTCAGGAAGGACTTAGCTGGGTGTATATTATATATAGGCTCATGCTGTGCACACGCAATATTTTGAGCAAGAAACCTTTTTCTCTTCTAAGAGGCTCTTCGAGGCCAAAACACCATATAAAGTACTTTTTCAAAAAGGTTTTGCTTGGGTTACCTCTTAGTTGGACTGCGCTACTAATCACTCAGTAATAGAAATGTGGTGGAAAAATATCGTACGTTTTGGGGGAACCTTAACTTTGCATTAATTAGGAGTTTCATATGGAGAGCACGCTAAGGGATAGCATGAAAGAATTTGCTCATTGTGTGTTAAGTTGAATAGGTATGCTGGAAAGTCTAGATGGGGGAGCGGTAGTTTAATTTGGCAACCCCTGGGTGCATCAATATTGAGCTTTTTATGGAGGAGTGCCGCAGTATTTAAAACTGGACGACCGCAATAAAGAAACGACGTTCCTGGTCTCCTTGCTCAACAGGTTCAATCAGTGTTTTGGAGTGATAGGGGTCCTGGACTACCTCCACGGGACCAACGATAGCTTCAGGAGCAGCAAGGGCTACGAGAGACACACCCTTCTTCTGGGGACAGATCCTGCCTATGTTGTGTACCCTGACCCTGGAGAAAAGAGGGCCAAGCCCGAGTGATTTTCTATCTTCAGACACACAGTAGTGTTAGTTTTATGTTTTGTTTCCCTCACGTTGTCCCCTGTGTTTTGTGTTCGTTTCCTTGTGTAGCATTGCGCATGCGTTATGATATGCGAGAGTGGGTGGGGCTGGGTTGCAAACTCCGTATACTACTGCATACTTTAATTATGAGTCGATTCTTTCCGGTTTATTACGAGCTAGTTATAAATGGGCGTACCTCCGTGTGTCGCGTAGTGTGTGAACGAATTCGTTCGTTCAGTGTGTTTTGTAATATAGTCATTCTGCTGCTAAAATTTACTGCAGCGCAGAGTAGAAAGATTTAGCTGTGAAGTTAGGCGTTGAAGACGCGAGGAGTAAGAGACGAAGCTGATTTTCCGGCAGCTACGGTGGGTTGCAGCTGGAACAAGAGAGATAGCTTGTGCATGGTAAGCACCAGTAATGTTTATGCTATCCGATCCCTGCGCCTCGTAATAATGTAGTGCAGTATATTCTACCCAAATCTGTGTAACTAACAAACATGCGTGTAGAACCGTAGCTCCGTAAGAGTACGAAGAAAGAGATTGTTTTTGCTGTGTACAAATTTCACACACGTCCGTCCCCCTTTTCGCGGGCATACAGAGCTATCATCTAGTCCCAGTGAGAATGGTCGACGGTGTCATATCGTGATACGTGGTATATAGCTAGAAATGAAAAGCCTGTGGTTATAGATACACGGACCGCATCAGGCCGTGTAGCAAGTGAAGGGCTTTTATTGTGCAAACCGGCGGTGTTAGCAGGTCTCCGCTTGATCCTGGATTAATACAGCCCAGGATGTTTTTCAGACTCTCAGGCCATTTGGGGTTCTTCCAAACATTTCACACAATCTTTCGACAAATTTTCTCCCTTACCTAGAGAATCATTCTCAGAATCGTTGTTTGAATAGACACCCCGACACGAACAGAATTCGGAAAACACTAAGGGGCCGCTGGTGGTTGGTGCTAAACTGCAGTAGGAGATGTGTGTATTACACCCTGCTGTGTTTATTCTGTGGTTCGACTCACACTGAGCGTGCAATCTGCTCCCGTAGTCTAAACGCTCATTCAGTGATGCGGCGACGTACAATCAAAAACACAACCCAATAGTTTTACTTTGTGCTCCCCTTTCAGTGTGTGTGCCGATCTCCCACATGTCTGTTTTTACCTCTACGTGTGATATGAAAACTGTCCCAAGGAAATATTGTAGTCAAAACATCTTATTTTAGCTCATGTGTAGGTGTATAAGAATAGCTTAACTTCTGACAATAATATGACTTTACAGAGGTTTTCCTTCGTCGCTATTATAGCACCCGTGAAAATATGTAGTTTGTTCACAAGGCATGTCCTTAGTTCGGAGTGTTTGTTGGTGGAATGAGATGTAAGAGATCCAGAGCGTACATAGGTGAGGTCCACCCACTTACCAGTACACACAAGATCTGATCAGTGTTGCTAAGGTTATGTACACAAACTGTATACCAGACCTACATATATGGCTATCTCTCCTTGGGTTTATGGTTTGTGGCACTCATTGGACCGATTCCACCGTTCGTGTGACCGTTTTTCGTGATTTGGCAAGCGAGTCGATTCACCTCAATACCATGCTATATAGGTCCACAGAGGTTGACTGGCTTTCGAGCCTGTCCTATCCACTTAATCCACTTAGACTGACAATAGTAGCTTGGATAGACCGTGGAACCTCTTATAATGGACACTCTCAATGAAGGACACATCTCTATATAGTTTCTATCATGGTGCTAAATACACTTTGCTATAATACACCTCAGGACAACTTTCATGGGCCCCAGCATGTCTTATGTACATTCAGAGGCTCCACTGTAGTGTTAGCTACAGTGGTCTTTGGCAGCGTATATTATTACGCATTATAAAGCTCACACTATTATGCTGGCACCGGGGGGGTATATGTATGTAATGCGGTGCAGAGTGCTCTGTACAAGTGCAGCTGTCAACTACCACACACACCTGACCGATGTACGGTCTTTGCATCCCCACTATACCCAGTACATCGTACGCTGCTTTCAAAGTGTCCGCAACAGTGTGCCGTATGTAGTATGTACATGCCCCATAATGCATACAGCACGTGGTTGGTTTTATTGGTATTAAAACAGAGAGTGTCCATCAGTGGCCTTGTACACGTGGCAATCTGCAGTGTTAGCTACAAGGTTCACGCGCCTTTCGTCTATAATTGGAGCACTTTTTGTTACGATCACAAGATTATATCGTGCTTATTATACTGCTGTGACGCGTACGTACAACGTACGTTGCTGAAAGCATTTCGGAATGTCGATTTGCTTTGCTACAAAGTGTTAGCCAAAGGGAACTCCATTTCGGCCTTTCTACAATCGCCCTCATTGTGGTAAACATGTAGAACTTCAGCCCTGATACCACTCATCCATCTTACTCTTGTCCAAATAGTGATAGATCCACACCCTTCAAACCAGTACTCCACTCTGAAGAGGTTCGGATTTCCTTACCTTAACCATAGACCGTATATATACAGACCATACAGTAGTTGTGGTAAGTGACTCACCCCAGCTATACCTAAGTCACATGTGTGTGGCTATGCCACTCAGGAAGTGGTAAGCCACCCACAGCAATTGCATGTGGGCTGGTGACCTAACGCATGGGTGAACTTGCCGGACACACAAGGGATGCCATTCCAATTCAATCGTAGCTATTCTAAAACTGAGAAGGTGCTGAAGAAGGCTAGAGTTGCTAATTTGACTGGTGTGTCCGTGTGTACACCGTCTCGCGTGGTTGAGACAAACTTTGTAGCGAGGTCCTTCGTGTGGGTTCACAGACCGGCTCGGTGGGCACTGTGAGGACTTATTTGGCCGGTTCACACCTACTCAACTGGACCCTGTGTACATTTGGCAGTGCGTCTGTTTATACTAGTGCGAGTAAGTCGATCTGCCTTTCTCCCACTCCTGACCCCACTCCCTGCTGCCCACCACCACAGTGAGATCCTAGCTCCCCTGATCTAACCACCCCTCACACACACCCTACCCAGAGTATTCTTCACTTTATTTTCTCCTAACTATCGCAGACATTTAGTTACACAACCGATTCGGACACTTTCCATTTCTCTCTCGCTTGCTCTCTCTTCTTTTTTATGCCCATTTTCTCTTTCTTTTCCACACTCTCTTCGCTTAATCTTCTCTCCCTCCCTTTCTCTCTCTCTCTCTCTTTCTCTCTCTCTCTCTCTCTCCTCTCCCTCCCTTTCTCTCTCCTCTCCCTCTCTCTCCTCTCTCTCTCTCTCTCTCTCTCTTTCTCCTCTTTCCCTAAAACTGTTCTGTTTCTCCCTCAACCCCCCTCACTGAGCTCCATAAATAATGGGTCGGTAGTTAAAGATGGTCATGTGTTAGAACGTGGTCCCAGTTATGGCGATGCTGACCTCTATGACAGATCGAGATCTCAGTGTATTAAACATGAATGAAGGTATATGGTGGGAGTTGGATCAACACTAACCCCACGTTCTCCTTTATTGTCCTCTGTGGCTCTTTAGCACACCGTGTCCCTGTACACACTGCGCTGGTGTAGGGCGCCATTCAACTCTCCCTGTTTGATCACTCGGTATAATCTGCGTACATAGTTCTCATCTTAGTCATAACACACGGAATCTCATATCTACTGTACTTCTCACATGGTCCATTTGCAAGTATAATACATGCAGAGTTGTATTGGAAACTCATATAATAGTCTGAACAAAGGACCCCTCTCTAAAAACACACTGCTTTGATCTAGTGTTTTATATACCGGAAACCTCTATATTGTCCTAGTATAATTATCATTTATAGTGTGGTTTTCCATTGTTGATTGGTCACCAATATCTGGAATATAGTGTGGACGAGTTTGGTCTTCATGTTTGTGAACGAAATTCCTTTCTGCACGGCGACATACTGCTACGTACACATGCCATATCTGATATTGGTGTTTGTGAAATCTGTCATCCAACTGCATGCATACCAATTTGGCAATGAAGTGATCAGATCACCATTGAGAAATTGTGTGTTTGTCTAATCTCTGAGATATATCACTCCACTTACAACAAGAATCTCATCACACCGAGAATTGACGTTGGCATCACATGGTCTAATACCTTCATTGTGTACGTATACTGGCTGCTATGTAGATGTTTGACTGTAGAATTTGAGGTGTGGTAATTGTCATATATGTGTGTGTTGGATATTAGGGTCTACGTACTTACATGTATGTATGTATGTATGCCTTGTGTGTGAGTCTTTTTGGCTCAGAGAGGGTAAGGGTGAAGAGGTACAGAGAAAAGGAGAGAGCATGGTAACCAGGAGGGGACCTGAGACATAATTGGTCCAATTACTGGAGCTCCTTTAATCCACGCTCACCCGGGGATAATTGGTAATAATTGAGAACCTGGCAGGACACCTTTAATCCATGCCACCTGAGGATAATTGGTATAATCACCAACTTGTCATTTACTGGCATAGCTCCTGTACTTGGTATAAGGAGAGGCTTGGTCCTTACCTCACCTATATATACGTACTAAAAGGAATGCAACGCATTGTTGGTGAGCGAAGCTAGCAATTTAATATTTCGCGCGTATTTGGAATCACATAAACATGATGGTATGCATGTTCACCGATACAGAAGGATATATACTGCACGTCAATGGAAATACGTAATCTGATTGGTCAATTTGAATCTGCCGACGTCTAAATATGGGGAAATCCTGCATTCAGACGGCAAGGTTTGCTAATATTTTCCCTAGCCTACCATTTGTCATTAATGGGGGGAGTCACTCATATCCAGTCATGAAAGGCCTTCATCTTCAAGAAACTTATGCTGTTGAGGTGTTCATATCTGCGCCTTCAACAGGTTCTGTAAACACTAACAGCTGGACATATGCTGGCTGTTTCAGTGAAAAGGTGTACGTATGCTATTGTACATTGGGAAAACACATGTGTTGGATGTCGTTGGGCAAATATTTGTGCTGTTGTCCAGCGTGTCTGTCCTCTTTCAGTTTGTACAGTTTGTCAATGGGGTGTATTTCATAACTGTGGACCGTTTCATAATGGCTGGTTGTACGTGTGGACGTGTGTGTCATTCATACATTTGTGGAGGAGGAGAGAGGAGAGAAGAGCGATAGCTTCAGAATTGTTTTTTGTTTTCATCAGTTGCTGTGTTTTGTCAGGGGATTTTAAACATGAATTTGGCTATATTCAAATATATTTTGAGAATGCACCTCCATTCCTCTGTAATTACTCTTCACTCTATGCTCTTTGCTGTAGTGCTGTCTCGCACATAGCACTGTAAGATGTGGTTTCTATTGTCTATGTTTGGCCTTTGTTATATATATGCGGAGAATAGAAAGTCCCGCTTTTTAATGTGTTGCAAAGGACACCCTCAGAAGAGAAAAACGCTCTGAGACTGGGAGAAGTGAGGCCATAAGCACTCTATGAAGGGAGGGTAGAAACGTCAAATACACTCTATGAAGGGAGGTGAGAAGGGAGGGAGGATGAAGTAGTGCCATGAGACAGATGGTGTAGTGGCTGATACTAAATCCACTGTTGTGGGTGATAATTTGGGAACAGACACACCCTATAACTTGGTCGGCTTCTGTATGTCTGCCATTTATCATTGTGCAAGCAGCGGCCAGCTCTGTACGTAGGTACGTATACATACTCAATATGGGTGAATCAACCCAATCAACCCACATGCCTTGCAGGCACCTCATCGGTTAACACAAGTTTTGGGCTTCCTTCATTCTGGAGACAGGTTTCTGTGTTCGTCCTTTAGTCAGCTGCGTTTTGGCTGGGTAGGTAGGTGCCCTTCTTGGAAGCTATCGAATGCAGAGTAACTGGCACTGATATTTGCTAAGTCTGGCCGCTGGCCCCAGGTAGGGCGGAGAGCTACGTAGAGATCATAGTTTTACTGACGGGGGATTCTCTCATACTTGTACTAATAGGGATTGAGCCATACTTGTAATGCTGCTGCATACTTATTGATGGGAATATTATATTGCATGTTTGGAATATATCATCATACTGAGGGGATTTATCTGTATTCATGATTTTGCTGATTCGTACTTCTATTTATCCATACTTACTGGTAGGGATTCACCCATATTGAGTTTATACGTGGTGTGCATGTGCTTCTTACAATGGCCGGTATTTGGGGAGTTGTGTATGTATAGTTCGTTCTACCCGCGCCATGGTACACGGAAAACATCTGTCGCGACAAATTTGTACACGGCATCTTGTAATCATATTTGGCGATGTTGTGTTTGTGTTTGTGCGTGTGCGTGTGCGGGGGGGGGGACATTTGGTGAGTGAAGTGAAAGCCTACCTACTAGTCCGATACAACTGACGCCTCTTCCACTTGACAGCAAACGTCACGTAGAGCAGTTCAAAGGTCACATTCTATGACTTGCCTGCGATTACTCGCCAAAAAGTGCTCTTTGCATTCTGTCTTCTACCTACTGCGTACTCTTGATAGATGGCTCACATGCATGCATACATACATACATGTTGTGTACATATTGATGCATGTAATTGGTGATCAAGACAAGTGTAGTGCTTCGTGGGAGTATCCAGTATAGCTGTAGGCATGTCTGTATTACATCCTCTGATCTCCATTCAAATACATACGTAGTACTATACACTCACCCTCGTTCGATGCACACACATGAACAACTAAATTTAAGAACTGGAATAAGGAGCTCAGTGGAGGAGCTCTGGGGCCAAATTTTATATGGGGGTTCAAATTGAAGACAATTACAGTGTGGATTGTATAATTAAAGGGAGGCCTCTGTATGTGGAACAAATTGCCCTTTTCAACCCAGAAAATCAACAACCTGTTAGCACAGGGGCAAAGTAGGCAGTGATATAACTATACATAAGTTGAAGTACAAGTCTGGACGACACAGGCCAACTGCCAATAGATGTGCACATAAAAGTGGCTCTGGTTGTGTGACTATGAGGCCGATGATACACAATGTGACTTTGTTGCATCAGATGATGCACACCATTGTGTATAGTGTGTAGCTTACCGTATGACTTGCTCCTGTCTTGAAAGGCATCCTAACATAGGTTGTGGTGGCCGTGGTACACAAATTAAATGTGTGAGTGTTTCTTGTTAGTTATGAGACGACACTGTGTGTACCAGCCCAGCTCTGTCAGCCTACATGGGTGTGCATTAGGCAAATGTACCTCTACATTTACTTACATATACTTCTCTCTTCTTCTCTCCCTTTGTAGGTACTGTCGGTCTATGCACAGCGTACAACGGAGTAGTTAATAATCTTCGCATTTTTTTAAACTTTCAAAAATTTTTGAGCCATAAATTTTTAAGAGCATGACTGAGGTCGAGAAGTCACGAGATGTGTTTACGCAGTCTCACTCTCCGGACCGTCACTATCCGATGACATCATCCACAAAGCGAGAACGTCACCGACCCAACCGTCACACAGTTCACAGCCCTCACTCTTCTCACAAGAGGCACCGTCCTCACCACAAGCACCCGTTTCCCCGGTCGACGAAGCGGAGTCTTCCTCCCGGCTGGGAAGAAGTGAACAGCGAGGGAGGGACGTATTACTGGCACAAGAAGACTGGGAAGACCACATGGAAATTTCCCTCCGTTGAAGGTACGTGTGGGAAAGAGAGGAAAGGGGGGGTATATAAAAGGAGAGGAATAGAGAGGAGAAAAGAGTTAAGGGAAGGGAGAGAGAGAAAGAGGAGGAGAGAGGGGAAAGGAGAGGGATAGCAAAAGAGAGGGGGAAAGGAGAGGAAAGGAGAGGAAAGGAGAGAGGGAAGAGAACATGAACACATGGAAGAAACCAAGTAGGAAGAGTAGGACACTGTAGAAAATGAGAGAATGTAGAAGGGGGTGTGTAGGAAGTGTTTTTGAGTGTGGGAGGTGCAGTAGGCCATAGTTTGTGGGTGAATAACTGTGAGTAGTGAGTAGAGAGAGGCGAGGGAGCTGCTTCAAAGAATGTCTCTGGCATATGCAAGCAACCGTGCTCTTGTCAACTGTGTCTTTTGCTCTGTGTAAAGGGCTTGCGCATCCTGCTAGGCAAAGTTATTGTGCGTTTGTGTATACCGTTTCTCTGTATGCCTGTGAGTGGGGTTAAGTAGACTCGAATGTTTGCGTACAGCATCCAAACTTTGTTTTACTATGGTTATTGTGTGATAAGACATCGTTTGCTCTGGGTTCAATGCTGCGTGTAAACCATTACCTTCGCTTAGCAAACTACGTGCTGGTGTGAGTGGGAAGGCGGACAATAATCTACGCCCATTCTCTAAAGTATGATGTAATTGTGATGTTCGCACGTTGGCAGGTGCCGTGCTCCTAATAAACCAGTTTAATTGGATTAGAAGGGCAAGTTATGGGACGTATTGCCCAGTGGGCAGTGAACCTAGACAGTGTGTGCTGCATTTGGCACTCCTGTCACTGACGTTTCTATAACTTAGCCAATTCCACATGTGCACAATATGGGCAAGTATTAAGATATGCAACAGCTGAGCTACCGAAATTGTGTCATACGTACATTGCAGCCTGTTGCAGTACTATCATTTTCAGGTAGAACACTAGCTGTTGTTTTTTTCCATGACACTAGACCACGATCGTTAGGAATTTCTTCCTCATATCTACTACATATCTTAGTTCATAGTTCACATACTGTAGTTGGTCAAACATATGCTTGAATCTAGACAAACAGCATGATATCAGCAAGTGCACTACCTTTAATGGGTCCATAGTATGGACTTTATGGCATTGGGTACTGGCGGGAGGCTCACTCAAAGCCAAAACTACTACTCTGGCTTTGCCTTACTCTGCAGTTTAGCGTGCCATAGTTGCAGCCTGGCACATGCCTTATTCCGCAGTGTAAATACCCACGCTAGAGGCAACGCCCTGAGCATTGCAATCCGTGTGCCTTTGTAGCTCTTTGCCTTTTTCTGGTAGCTTGTCTACTATCGCAATAGTAAAAGGCATTGTAGAGGCTTAATTTTGGTATATTATATATAGTACACACACACCCTCTGGGCGATTGTGAGGTGCAATTAACAAAAAGTAGGTAGTAAGTTCTACTGTCACATGATAGTGCAGTTAATTTCCCCGCAAAATTTATTTTAGGAGTATGTTATGTTCAACCTGAAGTGTGACAGCATTGTCGTTGTCATTAATAGTACTCAGGTGGCAAACAAATGCTCTAGAGCCATCGACCACACACCAGGGCAATCGGCTGAACCGTTACTACATGCAGATAGTCTCTATCCCGCTCTACGTTATCGCGGGATAAAAATCATTCAGTATAGACTAGGTGGGTGCGGTTGCCTTACTTTGCCAATTAGATTTTAAGGAGCTATAGTCGGTGTGACTTTGCGTGTCATGTTTCAGTACATATTTGGCACGTGTTTACACTCTTGTCTCGTTGAGAAGATTGTTGTCTCGTTGACCGGAATTTGCTGGGAATGCTACGACTGATTCGCTTTTCCCAGACTCTCGAGCAGCCACAAGTTCTTGCAGTGTTCAATGAGGTGTGGGTAATAATATACCACAGCAGGTCGACTGATCGTGATTTCACTGCTCCACCAAATATGATACAATAGGTACCGCGTAGTCAGAAGTCTTAGGGGGTAAATAAAATCTATCTCTCTATTGTATTGCCAAAGTGAGTGCGGGGAGATTCCTTTCACAAACATTATGTATATACACAGATCTCGGTCAAAAATAACTCACTGTGGGTGTAGAAAGGCTACCGGCGTGTCTGGTTTATCTAGCCACATGCGTCTGTTGGTCCAAAGCTGTATGACTGCAATATTCACGAGGCCTGGGGTCTGATTCATGAGGCCTGGGGTTTGATTCATGAGGCCTGGGGTTTGATTCACGAGGCCTGGGGTCTGATTCATGAGTAGTGTCTGTTCTTTCTATCTGTGTTTGTTTAAACCCGCAATTCCCCTGTTAGATACACGCCTAGCATTATAGATAATCACAGAGTTGGTAAGGCTGAAAGGTAAGTGTATCTGTACCTATCTAACCTCACTTCCATACTTTCACTAATAAAGTTTCCAAGTGTCGTCTCTGGCAGCCCCAACAAAGTGCTGTCTGTACCAATCAGGCATAGAGTCGGCCAGTAATCAACTTCTCACCTTACTGATGACATTAGTCTGTAATTAAGAGAGAGAGAGAGAGCTTGTGGCTGTGATAGGACCTGCACACTGACCTGCTTATGTCATTAGCCAAAGTGACTATACTTCACAGCTAATACTGCTTTGCTTTAGAGGTGTTTATATAATTGACCAACCCACTTAGTTGTCTGAATAATAATTATTATAATCTGATTATTCTACCTAAATGCCGCCATGACCCTACCATTGTAGTGTTGGAATATCACATTTCATCATTAAACCTGTTCACCGTTGCAAAATGCATGTGTGCAGTATAATAGTGAGTTGATTGTATACGTATATAGTCATCTACTAATGGACTGCCCACTAACACAGCTCCCTAATTGGGTGCGTGTGTGTGATTGCTACGTAGCTTTGGGTTCCGCTCCTAATTAAAGGCAAGCAGACCCCGAGAGAGAGAGAGAGAGAGAGAGAGAGAGAGAGGTTTGGGCAAGAGCCTATCTGAACATGAGATGCTGTCAACTATTTCCAGCTGAAGGACTGTGCTCTCTTTATACCTCATATTTATGGGGGGAAGGGTGTGTACTGAAGTATAGTCTACACAGACTGATATATAGACATAATATGTATTGCGAGGTATATTGATTCTTTCTTCCTCACTTTGTGATGATATTGTAGCAAAGGAACACGAGAGGAAGCAACAGTCGCACACCTACATCAACATCCGGCCAGGAAAGCAGCCGCTCGTCGTGAGAACTGAAGACTCTGACACAGACCCCCCAGCAGCTGCCAGTGGACGCGGCAATGGTGTCGTGGCGCAAGCCAGTGGCAGCGATCCGTATGACGGCAGTGCCAGAGTGCGGGAAGGAGCTGGAAGAGGAGAGCTACTGAGCAACGGAGGAACTTCTCGAGAAGTGTCTGGGGAGGGAGGGACGTGGGTGTCTGGAGAGGCGGAGGGGAACGGGGCTCTGTCTTCCCCTGGGGGGGAATCTGGGGGTTTTCCCTCCGACGAATCTCCCCCTGGAGTGAGGAGACGACCACTTGTGGTCCACAACTACGAGAATTTTCCCTTTAACCCCATTGCGACAGCCAAGAACTCGGACGCTACACCCGATCCGGAGATTGGGTCGGGCGGGGCGAGCCCCACCCGAAGTCGGGCGGAGAGCAATGCCAGCTCAGGCTCCGCCCCTCCACTCCCAGAGAGACACTACAGCGAGTCGGACGTCAGTGGGAGTAGATCCGCCCCAAACTACCCCGCCCCAGATTGCCCCGCCCATTCCCGTGAAGAAGACCATGAATCGCGGGACTCTCTGTCTCCACTTCATCGGCAAAATCGAGGTGCCTCCCGCTCACACGAGGTCCAGAGAGAGGTGTCTGAGCAGGGACAAGTGTACGCCGTCGTCAACCCAGCTTGGAAGAAGAACATCAAGGGGAGGTCCCCCTCGTTAACTCGTCTCACCGACCCTCTCATGTCAGACGATAAAGTCACCGACGAAACTCCTCCCCCTCTCCCCAACCGTCCGTCGAGTTCGGCAGCCGCGGCGACCAAAGAGGGTAGTGCTACAGAGCATTTGGATTTGGACTCTGACCTTGTCGAGCAGAAGAGGGCGGAGCTAGAAGTGGGCAGTCGGTTTGCCCAGTCAGTCAGGTACGTGGACGTTGAGCTAAGTGGCCGTTCACGGGAAGAAGGTTCTCGCGGCAGCGGACACAGAAAGGTGCACGACGTTACTTACGACACAGTTGCCCTTCCAAAGTCTCAACCAGAGGGTGATGCCGGGGAGGAACAGGTGAGACAAGGTGGAGGACGGAAGAGGAACGAGCGATGGCTCAAGACCCAGTCGGCCTACGTCACCACTTCTCACACCCTCACCACACCCTCCTCCCCTCCACCTCCTCCTTCTCACACCCTCACCACATCCTCCTCCCCTCCCCCTCCTCCCCTACCCACTAGAGACTCCGTTAAACAGACAGAAGAAGCATTACCGGCCGTGCCACCTAAGCTGGGACTCAGATTAGGAGACGATGACTTGGCTGCAAATCGCAGGTGGCTGCACGCAATGAACGTGACAATTCGAAGACCGTCAGAGTCCGAGGGAGATAAGTCGGGGAAGAAACTGAGCAGGGAAGCACTGCTGTTGAGGTCAGGGGTCACGTTGAGGCCGGGGACACGCCCCCCGTGGCCCCCCTCGGAGGTGGATGGAGGGAGGGAAGGAGAGTCTGGATCAGACGAGGAGGATGGACTGGAACCATTGACTAGGTGAGAACGAGTCCCAACTCTCAGATATAACACGCTGGACAAGGGACACATCTCTATAAAGATTGTTCTGAGCTGGTGCCAATGTCATATTATATGCCTAGAGGAGTACATACACTTGTGTAGATCTGGTGCTAAACCCCCGAATAAAAGATATATACCTTATGTTTCCAGTGGGCTCCTATTTGGTGTACTTGTAAAATAACTATCAAGACTGCGTGTACTCACCGTTTTTATCTTTTCCTTCCAATGGTTGGGTTGATTCATATATACACAAATGGACATGTTGCGCCATAGCACAGTGGTTTTTAGGTTTGCCTTTGTCTTGTGTTGTATTGTGTTGTAGATTTGAACCCCTACCAGCTGAGTTGCCACGGTAGCTCAGTTGGTAGAGCACTCGCCTAGACTCCAGAGTGTCATGGGTTCGAATCCCACCTAGGGCAGCTCTAAAAAAAATTTTTTAAACTACCCTAGGTGTACTTGTTTGTTTGCGCTTGCCTTTCCTTAACCTCTTGGTTACACGTGAAACAGAGCTATAAAGTCACTGGAGACTAGGATGACAAATCGACCTTCGCATCAACAAGCCTCTCGCCAGGATAGAGGGAAAGATGAAGAGAAAGCTAATCTGACGCTAGTTCCAGATGGTCCTCCCAAATGGACCCAGATTCAGCGATCGACGCACAAATACGAGGACATCGAGATAATGGACGACCAGTTGATGGATGGGATTCCCGGGAGCAAGGGGTCACTCCGGCGTGCTCAGAACGGTGCACGGAGTGTGGGCAACCTACACATGGCCTGGGACGAGTCTGATATCAGGTCAGTTGATGTACGTAGCAGTGGAGCTTATTCTGAAACCCGTGGATGGGGTTGGAGATTGAATGACCCAGCATTGCAGCTTTCTTTCTCCTAATGAGTAGCATGTGGCGATGTCCCACATATCCTCATTTTACTGTGATACTGTGTAGCTGACTATTTATATGCCTTAGTTTGCTACTGCTGGCCTCATACACACGAATTCTGTTCTGCTCGCATGCTACGGACATGCATGCCCAACATTTATAAGCGAAATACTGCCTGTCCAAAAAATTTGTCGCATGAACGCACAATGATTCTGATATCAGGTCAGTGGAATAACACCTACGTTTCACACCAGGTGCATTAGCAAACTCGATGTGCTCACTGATTCATGTGTTCCGCAAGCGCAGTACATTTGCCTGTCCACAATACGTCTTACCAACGACATCATTGTGCCCCCTGCAGATCTCAACCAGCCATGGTGAGACCGCGAGAGCTGGGAGGAGCCAAAGGGAACCAGTTGGTGAGTGCCTCCCAGCCGTGTCTGGTGGACATGAACCTCGCCCTCCCTCACCTCGTGAAACCCAACCGAGTCTCCGACCACGCCTTTCAGCTCCGTAAGACACGCCTACTTCAGCACAAGTACGAGGACATCGACATTCCCGAGTGGCCGGAAGTGGGCGGAGTCCCGGGGAGTGTGACGAGTGTGGGAGACGTCCCATCTCCGGCGGTTCATAACAGCTGGCTCGAGGCCGACAAAGACAGTGGTACGTACGTGAAGATGAAATGACATTGCACGTATGTAGAGGCCCCAATGAGCCATTTATTGTACATAGGAAGAAGGGAGATGGGTAGGGAGGAGGGAGGGGGCCTGGGAATGACGCTAGTTTTCTCTGTCTTGCGCTGGCAAAGTTTGTAGGTTTTCTTAATGCAAACATATTCCGGGGAAGAGAGCTAAGAGAGCAAGTGCTACACACACTAATACTTGCAATTCGGAGTCCCAAAGGGGTTACCTTCAAAAGGGGTTACCTTCAAAAGTGGTTTCTTTCTCTGCCATCCACAGCGTACGTACGTGTACACGTTTCTTTGGCAACACCTATAATATAGTAGCAACCAAAATTATTGCCAGTGTAAGTGACGAGTGATGAGTGGGGTTAAGTAGTGCATTCACCCACACAGCTCATGCACCCACCTTTAACAAGAAAACCTTTTTGCACGCCGTCTGTAAGACTTTCGAGAAAGTGTTTCTCCTCAAAACTTTCTCGCTCTATATATGGCAGCATGATATGCGTAACTGTCCATTTTGTGTGTGTGTGTGTGTGTGTGTGATGGAACACAGGAGTGACAGATTCAGGGACCATGCTGCCCAAAGGCTGGCAGAAGATGACAGACGACCAGAGCAGAACCTACTACTGGCACATCCCCACTGGACGGACACAGTACACCAAACCAACTGGAGAGAACATGGAAAGATTGGTACGTTTTGCAGCTATATTTCTGACACGCTGCGTATTTCCGCTACGGCAAAAATGTGTGGATAATGCTTTTTCCACAACAGCAAAATGTGTGCCGTAGAAATTGTTTATGTTCTGAATGATGTCGCAAAATATCACACGATGTTATATGGCATTGCGTAACTGGCTCAAGCCGTGAGTGACGTCATAGGCTTAACATTTCTTGTTTTTTGCAGGCACTCTCCCTGGATGATTCCAGCCAGCCACTGTCTGACCAATCAGATCACTCCATCTGCTCCTCCTCCAGCGCCATCCCTAACGCAGCTGCGTGCTCGCAATCAGAGGTCAAAGGTCAGAGGTTCTTGACTCGTTACCTAGGGAACCACCCGGTCGAGGAGAGCGAACTGGTACCGGGGGAGTGCGTCAAGGTCGTTCATGCCAGCATACGAAAGACCCACCCGTCTGGCAATGTGAAGGTAAAATACGTGCACGTGATCAGATGTGTGCTATACACCCCAGAATTGTTTTTCAAGAAGAATGCTTGCTAACCCTGTTCATTTGTATACCTGGAAGTACTACTTATATTTTTTTCATGTGGAAGAAAAATTTTTTCCCAGTGGCAGAAAATTTTGTGGGTAAGTTTACGCTGTGTAAAGCCGGTCTTCTCCTACTTTACATGCTCAGTGAGAGTATTATACTGTGCCCCATAGTGCAGTGGTTTGGGGTTTGCCGTTGTGTTGTGTTGTAGATTTGAACCCCTACCAGCTGAGTTGCCGTGGTATATCTCAGTTGGTAGAGCGCTCGCCTATATAATAGTGCAGAGTGTCGTGGGTTCGAATCCCCACGTCACTAGGTAGCTCTTAAAAAGAAAAAAAGAAAGCCATCCTGGTATCATTGTTTTTTTGGCTTCGATATATACTTCGTTGTTGACACGTGCATGGCTTATGAAGTTGACTTGAGGCTCTGAACATTATCAGTGAAGGTACGATAGTTACGGCTGCCCTAGCTACCAGCTCTGAACATTATCAGTGAAGGTACGATAGTTACGGCTGCCCTAGCTACCAGCTAGCACATTATCAAGATACCCGACATACCGGTGCATCCAAGGTTACGGCTGGTGCCATTCTGTACCAAGAGAACTCGTAACGTCACTCCCTAGCTACAGTCCTTCAGGATATGTATGCTTCTGTGGAATGTATGGAAATATCTAGCAGACTCAACACGTACGTGTCCATATGTACGTATAAGGTTGCAGAAGAACCTTATCATGACTCTGTACTGTGTTATCTGACCGTGCAATGATGACGTACCAACATTGGTATAATGAGCACGCACAGTGCGATTTGGGTGTGTGCATTGTTGGAAATTGAGAGGTACAAGACAGGCGTATAGTGATACCTTCTTCGGATTCCTGCGACGGAATTTCATCACCAACATGTAGCTGTTTGTTGACTGGCAAGTGAAAGGGGGGGAGGGGGAGGAGGGAGTAGGGAGGAGGAGTGAGGAGTGAGGGGTGAGGGGGAGGAGGGAGGAGAGAGAGGAGGGAGGAGGGGAGATACTAAGCTAGCATTAGTCAGGCCGGAGGAAGAGCATTACACATTGCCTTATTGCAAGCCATGCCTGCTCTAGCAAAACCTATGGTCTTTGATACTTTGATTTACAGAACTACAGTGTTCACATACCATAATACGTACGTTGGTTCTCAGAAGGAAAAGTATGTTTGTGCAGCCATAAGAAGGTTGATAGAGTAGAAGAGAGATGAATCTGATGTGAGGAATTGTTCTGGGAACTAGAGCATTGTTCCCAACAGCATTGCTTCCTTGATTACATGTATATACATTGTTAACAAACATGTGCATGCAAGGAAGTCAATGTATAGTGCATGCAAGCAGGCTAGCAAATACTATTGAGAAACGAACGAGAGTGAAGAATGGCTATATACATGGCTGAGCTTCCTTCCAATAACTTGTCTACTTATGTTTCTTGTTTCACAGCTATACAATGTTTAGTTACATGATTGAATCCATCCTGTGAGCATTACTGCTGGATAACCTTCAGTCGTGAATTTTGCCCATTTTAGGCAGTACAACTCTTGTCTGGAACCTGTACGTCATGATCTAAGGAGAAACCCTCTGATAGCAGGAAATGATACAGTGCCTTTACACACTACATCACCCCAGACTCATGTATGTACATGGGACATGACCTACGCCTCTGTATAGCACATGTGAATGCACGTTGGCAGTTCAAATACAGGATATCAATGTGGCTTCAGGTTGCCCAGACTCCCATTGGTATATAGAAGTGGTAGCGAACAAAACATGGTATATACAAGTGGTATATACAGAGTGTGTAATGCTGAATGAAGCCCATCCTCCCATCCTCCAGTGGTATATAGAAGTGGTAGCGAACAAAACATGGTATATACAAGTGGTATATACAGAGTGTGTAATGCTGAATGAAGCCCATCCTCCCATCCTCCAGTGGTATATAGAAGTGGTAGCGAACAAAACATGGTATATACAAGTGGTATATACAGAGTGTGTAATGCTGAATGAAGCCCATCCTCCCATCCTCCAGTGGTATATAGAAGTGGTAGCGAACAAAACATGGGTATATAAAGTGGTATATACAGGTGTGTAATGCTGAATGAAGCCCATCCTCCCATCCTCCAGTGGTATATAGAAGTGTAGCGAACAAAACATGGTATATACAAGTGGTATATACAGAGTGTGTAATGCTGAATGAAGCCCATCCTCCCATCCTCCAGTGGTATATAGAAGTGGTAGCGAACACAAACATGTATATACAAGTGGTATATACAGAGTGTGTAATGCTGAATGAGCCCATCCTCCCATCCTCCAGTGGTATATAGAAGTGGTAGCGAACAAAACATGGTCATATACAGAGTGGTATATACAGAGTGTGTAATGCTGAATGAAGCCCATCCTCCCATCCTCCAGTGGTATATAGAAGTGGTAGCGAACAAAACATGGGTATATACAAGTGGTATATACAGAGTGTGTAATGCTGAATGAGCCCATCCTCCCATCCTCCAGTGGTATATAGAAGTCGGGTAGCGAACAAAACATGGTATATACAAGTGGTATATACAGAGTGTGTATGCTGAATGAAGCCCATCCTCCTCCTCCAGTGGTATATAGAAGTGGTAGCGAACAAAACATGGTATATACAGAGTGGTATATACAGAGTGTGTAATGCTGAATGAAGCCCATCCTCCCATCCTCCAGTGGTATATAGAAGTGGGTAGCGAACAAACATGGTATATACAAGTGGTATATACAGAGTGTGTAATGCTGAATGAAGCCCATCCTCCCATCCTCCAGTGGTATATAGAAGTGGTAGCGAACAAAACATGGTATATACAAGTGGTATATACAGAGTGTGTAATGCTGAATGAAGCCCATCCTCCCATCCTCCAGTGGTATATAGAAGTGGTAGCGACACAAACATGGTATATACAAGTGGTATATACAGATGTGTGTAATGCTGAATGAAGCCATCCTCCCATCCTCCAGTGGTATATAGAAGTGGTAGCGAACAAAACATGGTATATACAAGTGGTATATACAGAGTGTGTAATGCTGAATGAAGCCCATCCTCCCATCCTCCAGTGGTATATAGTGAGTGCCCCCTGTTCAGGAATTCATGGCATGCTCCAGAGTTAGGCTGTGGTTGGAGTCTGTTCCGTGTGGCAGCTGACAGGAATTTCCTGCTCGCATACTTGCTACGAACACTGCCATTGTCCCGGTGTATAGAGCGTGCTGTTATAAGCCCCTGCACTATTGATTTGGCTCATTTCAAGACAGTGCCAGTGATTGTGCTAGTGCAGCTCTAACTGCAGGTTGAGGGTCAATAACTAAACTGTGAGTTAGAAACTGTATATATACAGTTTACAAACTGAATACTTAAGCTTTGTTCAGCTTTAGGGAGCTTAGCTAAGAGAGAACTAGGATACTGTTAACAATGAGCCAGTAAATTGTGGTCTGCAAGTGTGATAATTACTCTGATAACAGTGTAAAGTAGTCCTTTTGGCTGTGGATGACTTTGTTTAGTTCTATAGGTTAGGGCTTTTGTTCACTTTGTCTTTAACTATTGCAAGACTGCAACTTGTTGTTGCAACTGTTGCAAGTGATAAAAGCCCTTGTTAGCACTCAGCAAAGAGCTGAAATTAGCCAACAAAGGCATTAGAGAGCAGCAGATAATGTGTGTTTGTTGTGGGCACCTATACATTAGTCGTGCAGATTTTGCATTCGGTTTGAGCTCTTTATGCTTGCTATATAAACAACTTACTCCCCTCTTCTTCTCTCTTTCCTCTATCTGTCTGTCGTGTCAGGGGCGGCCGGTATTTCTGGTGATTCAAGGAATGGAGCTGCAGTGGGTGGAGTCAGAGTCCGGCTCTCCAACAACCATCCAACCCATCAACAGAATTAGAGTCTGGGGCATTGGACTGGAGAATGACAGGTGAGAGAGAGAGTGAGAGAGAGTGAGAGAGAGAGAGTGAGAGAGAGAGAGTGAGAGAGCTGAGAAAGAAGATATGAAGGCAGAGGGGGGGCGGGGGGAAGGGAGAGTAAGAGAGGGAGAGTCAAAAAGAGAGAAAAGGGAAGTAAATATAAGGAAAGAGTGTGTGGCACAAGGACAGCTTCAAGTATGTAGAGAGAGAGAAAAGTCAGAAAAGATTAAAGAGAGAGGAAGGGGATGGTAGAATGGTAGAAGCATGGTAGACGGGAGTTAAGGTATGAGTACCGACCGTGACTTACAAGACATGCATGTGTGTACAGACACAAGTGGGTACTAGTTTGTGTGTACGAAGCCTACAAAAGGGCATGAGGAGTCCCTGCTGTAGTGATTCCATACTCCAGACACCCACACTCCCTGGCAGAGTATGCAAACAGTGGAGCTATAGCTGCACCATCTTTCCCACCACCCTAAACTCTATGGCATGACACACACACACACACACACACACATGCAAGCCCGATGCTTGAAAGTCAACCTCCTAGTTAAACCACAGCAATTCAGGGGCTCCACACTTTGCCTTTAGGCATGTGTGTGCATATTGATGTACATTTCTGCACCTGTTCAATCACTGATATGGGATTTTACGTAGGTGGGCATTTCATTTTGTTTTGGCTCCTATAAGTGGCCCAATATTTCACGCATCAACAGTGGTAAGTCTGAAAGGCAACAGTCCATGCGATGTGTTCTGTGGCGCGATTTGCTCGAATGCCACATCTGTCTTCCCTTTGAAAGATTACCAACCCCCATGCTCTCTCTCTCTCTCTCTCTCTCTCCTCTCTCCCTCTCTCCCTCTCTCTCTCTCTCCTTCTTTCTTTGCAGAGACTTTGGGTACGTTGCTCGAGACCAAGTCACAAAGAAACACAAGTGCCACGTCTTTCGCTGCGACATGCCGGCCAGAGCCGTTGCCAAGGCGCTGCTAGAGAACCACCAGAAACAGACCAAAACTCCGCCCACTACCACGCCCACTGGTCCTCCGGGAGACGATGAAGGGAAGTTCAGCAAACCAACGACACCTTCTCAACAGAAAAGAGCAGGTGACACAATTTTTCTTGCGCCTTAGACTCCTGTATTGGGTATGGTATAGGGAGTAACAATAGTTTCCACTTGTTATAGAAAAGGTCCCCAGCATGTCCATCTGTTCCATGCCGAAAAATTATTATTAAGACAATGTTCGCGGGTCACTACAAAATTCCAGAGTCCATTGTGTAAAGCAAAGTTTGAGCTTGAATCATTGTCTTTGGCTGTGGATTGTTGTTCATGCCGTAGACTCAGTCAGTGGTAGTGTTCATTGCCTCTAGGAAGTATAGTATGCTGTATAACTGCTAGGGTCCATATTATAGATCATAGAGGACTCAATAGGATGGTTACGTGTTGGTGGCTATGCTGGTAGCTTGTCTGTGAGGCTTATTGTTGGCGGTCTGCCCTCGATAACTACGTTCCGCTGTCCTTTGAATCATTTTCTTTGGCTGTGGATTGTTTTTCATGCCTAGACTAGTCAGTGGTGGTAGTTCATTTCCTGTAGGAAGTATAGTATACTCTATAACTGCTAGGGTCCATAATATAGATCATAGAGGACTCAATGGGATGGTTACGTGTTGGTGGTAGCTTGTCTGTGAGGCTTATTGTTGGCGGTCTGCCCTCGATAACTACGTTCCGCTGTCCTTTGTTCGCTGGGAATCAAAGACGCCCGAACCATTGTGTCCGTACCTCACTATTTTCGACAGACAGACACACTGTGTGTCGCCACTGTAATAATGTTGATGTAGCTGGGCGCATAGTGAGCCATTGATTACGTTCCATTAACCAGCTTGTGTGCCTTGCAACGTGGGAGTCGTGTTCATAATGAATGTGGTGTCATTCAGAGCATTCTAGAAAATCATGCCACACGTGCTGTGGGCTATCTCCGTGATTTGTGGGCATGTAGGTGTGTCCATGCTATAGTCCTCAAGAACAGATGTCGTGTTTTGCCTTCGTCTTTCTACCTCACCCACAGGATACGTGTGTCTCCAATCAGTTTTAGAGCATTGAGACCGTGTCCTGATGTCTTGGACAGCTTTAAGAATGAGTTAATAATCCCATTGGATACCTGATCCAGTTTCCTAGCCAACGACATTACTCTATCATTTGAAAGAAAAAAAATTAGCCTAAAGCTCTTTTGGGCTATGCATGAATCACGGGGCGTCAAACAACGACAACTAGGACAACACGCTCTTCAAAGAAGAAAGAGCTGCCCTAGGTGGGTTTAAAACCAAGTGCTCTACATCGATCGAGAGGTGTAGAGGAGAGAATTAACCAGCTTTTGTGGTGTTGGAGTTTTCCACGAAAGCTCTCTCCGTGAAAATATGTAGGAGGGCATACCTACCAACCATCCAGCTTTTTGCTTGATAATCAAGCAAAAATACTGCCTATCCCACCAGAAAAACACCAAATCCCTCTTTTTTTGTGCTAACTTGTGATGCATCATGTCCATACATTTTGAATGGACACACAACATTTTTAAGCAAAAATACTCCAAATCAAGCAAATTTGACACGTTTCTCAAGCAAAGGTTTATCTGCAGGTTGGTAGGTATGGGAGGGGACATTTGTGTTGTGGGAGAGACCAATGATTCTGCGAAACACTCGTTTGCCATCGATTTTCTTCTCTTAGAACTCTCCCACTCTTTGTGCATAACACCCCCGGCTACCTATGTGTACTATATACCCTGTGTAATGGTCCTATACCTACAATGTTGTGTTGTAGGAAGTCCTGAAGTGCCACAGAGCCACGAGAGAACGCGGACCGTGTCACAGAGCAACAGGCGACGAGGCCACAGTCCACCTGATGTAGAGACGGAGAGCGTTGAGAGCGTAAACTGCATCTACATGGGCTCCTGCGAGGTCCTCCAGCCACAGGGTGAGTGATGTGATGGGAGAGAGAGGGGAGAGAGGGGAGAGAGAGGGGAGAGAGGGGGGAGAGGGGGGAGAGGAGAGAGAGACGTGTAGCATTCATAGCCATCCTTTTCCACGTATTGCATGCAAAAATTAAAGGATGAAACAATATTATAAACATTTTTTTATCCTGCTACAATTAGTAATACTCCATACTACAATAGTAAATGTGTAAGAGTAATACCACACAATGTCCATGAAATTGGCCATCTGGACATAATATTGCACACTTGGCAGCAGCACCGGGTAGATATGTATGTGGGGGGAGAAGAAAAGTGGTGGGGGAGGGGAAGAATAATGGAGGGAGGATGGAGGGATTAATGGCCAGAAGACCAAAGCCAATGAACTTTTACATACATGGTCTAATATCTTCATGCAAGGAGTATATACAGTGACCAAACGATATCTCCCTCCTCCAGGTATCGACATTCTGAATGCAGCAGTGGAGAAGCTCTGCTCAAACAAGTTGCGATGGACCAATGCCAGTGTTGGCATATCCACCTCCACTATCAAGATCACTGACTCCATGGTATGTAATATCGAGTGTGACAATGCACATCACATTACATGTGATACCATTGGAAAATGGACTCCATAATGTCAATAGCACAGGCTCAAACCTGTATTTGACTTGCAGAACAAACTCCTAATACTAAAGTGAAAGCAAAACATCAAAAATACAGTTTGGGGAGAGCGTAATGATGCAATACCATTTTGCATTATAGCAACCGAGTTATGGACGCAGCCATATGTCTGTGCAAATGTTTCCTTTTGGATTCAATTATCTGTGCATTGCTTGCTACTTTACCACTATTACACCTCCCCCCCGTGCAGTCTGACAGAACAGTGGGCGATCACAGAATACGCTACCTCTGCTTTCTGGGCATCGCTAAAGATGACAAGTATGTTCATACGTACCACTTACTGTTCCATGCATTTGCCTAGAGACTCACGGAGTTCTGTACAACATACATTAGCCAATGCACTTTTGTATAGCGTTAGCATTATACAGCTACATGCATACCCATTTGCATGCAACTCTATACACGTAATAGTCTAAACAGAAGAGAGTAACGAAGCCTTCGCTGTCAGTAGTAAACAGAATTCGTATCCTCGTGAAGCTTCCACGGATGGCACTGCAGGAACGGAGTGTATGTACACATGACAGGTGGCCCACATAGTCCTCATGCCACTTTCCCACTTTGGTGTATGTAGACACATAATTCTGGGTGTTCTACATTCGTAGCCATTTTATTGGTGCAAAACTAGGGTTTTAATCCCTCCTCTCCCTCACCTCTCTCTTCTCTCCCTTTCTCCTCTCTCCTCTCAAATATTCCCCTCTCCTTCCTCCTCTCCTCCCTTCCTCTCAAATATTCCCCTCTCCTTCCTTCCTTCCTCCCTTCTTCTCAAATATTCCCCTCTCCTTCCTCCTCTCCTTCCTCCTCTCCTCCTCTCTCCCCATATCATACACGTACGTACAGGTACTGTGGCTACATACTGGAGAGCAGTGCTCGCAGCAAAAGACAGTCGGAAAAGCGGTTCCTGTTCCACGGATTCAAGATGGAACCAAACACGGACAAGCTGTGCCTCGCTCTCCACATGGCATGTCAGACTCGCTACCAGAAGGTGCTGGAGTCAAATCCCGAAGCCCAGAAAACTGCCAGAGAGAAAGCAGAGGTGAGGGAACGACAAAGATTCATAAACGTCGAGACGTACTTGACTCATATGGCATCCTTTCGGCCTTGCTTTGATAAAGTCAAAGGAGGAGATATTCAACAGTCTCATGCCTGAGATTTATAGCAAAAATGAATGCCTCATCGAGGGCTGTATAAGGAGACCAAGCAGGACACTAGTTACTATGATCACACTCGTTGCTCTGCTTTTCCATTCAATAGCTTTGCTTTTCCATTCAATAGTTCTCATGATGCAATTGTGCATGTGTAAACGTGTATACTTTTGCAGGTGGAGAGACTTCGCAGCAAGTCCACCAGCTCAATCCTGGGGAGGCTGGGGAGTTTCAAGAAGAACAGAAGAGACGACGACTCCAAGGTGTTCACGGTCCAGTACCTGGGCTGTCAGCAGGTGGCCAAGTCAGAAGGACTCGAGGTGGTCAAGGGACCAATTCAGGTTTGTGTGTGTTTATTATATACAGTCATATGTGTATATTACTAACATCGGACAGTTCAAAACGCTTTCTCAGAGCAAGTCACTTTACTTTAACGCTTGAACATCAGGACACCTATATACATGAGGGTTAAATTTAAACCTGATTGCATTCTTGCACTGGACCTTATTGGTAGCATTTCCATATTTAGCCGTTACGTGCTGAAGCCTTCTCTTTGAGTCGATATTAAAGGGAATGTGGCGTATAATAAAGGCTATTAATAGTAACATTCTCTAAATTAAGCCCTTATGTACTGCCAAACGTTTTGTATCACTGTTTATGGTGACTGGATGCCTGTTTGCCTTTGCCCTGCAGCAACTCTCCATCCCCAAGTCAGCTGTGGGTACGGCGCCAGTCAATCTGGTGGATTTCGAGGTCAGCTCTGCCGGACTCGGGGTAACCGACCCCAACAAGAGGCTCTTCTCCAGGAAAAACTTCAGCGTCAAACACATTACCTACGTAGTCAGAATCAGGTGAGGCTTGGGGTCTGTCTGAAACTCCATCTCACAGACACCCACTCTCTCTGCCTGTATCTACACTCCATTACTCTTTATAGTAAGTTGAGAAAAGCCTGGGCTGACAGTTTGCCATCCTTTTCCGCTCTGATATCCGCATTTGTGTAGTAAGAGTATTACTCTTTTCCCCAACACTCCAAAGTTAGCAATGACATTATACAGTGCGTACTACTGTGTTGGTGGTAGTAGTATGCAGTTGTTTGGTTGTAAGCTCACACTATCTAGCAAAAGTGCTTGCATTGCCTGACGTTCTATGCTGTATGCCAAAAGGGGGGAACAAAAGGAAAATGTTCACACGTACATTACAAGGATTTTGGCCATGAATCAAGAGAACCATTTGTACTATACGTGTTAAAAAACAATCTTTGAGTTTTACTCTCACTGTGTCCCACTGCCTCAGATTAGTATTTGCTCCATGTCAGCAAAGAAACATACCCTCTCTCTTTCTCTCCCTCCCATGGACTGCAGAAATTACTTTGCATTTGTTGTTCGCGACGGAATCAAATATCAGTGTTACGTGTTCCTGGAGACTGGAGTACCGGCAGCTACCATAGTGACCACCATACAGAGAATGCTGGCTCCAGAGCCCAGCAGGAAAAGATGACTATTCTCACGCCATCAGAATAGCGAAACACACCCATCCGTCCTTAGTTTCGTCCTGTTTGTCGTTATAAAGTGTGGTTAATTGCCGTCTCTATAAATTATCATGATAAATGTAGCACGCAATCATGTGTGCTTATTTCGATAATAATGTTGTGTGTTACTCCGCAAATATATTCTCTATGCACGGTTCACGATGAAGCGAGAAGTTGAAAAAAGCATACACAAAACTTATATTACACACAAGTGACAGTATACACACACACACACTCGTACACGTAAAGTGGTGAATAAATAGAACTCGTACACAAAGGTCTGCGGTGCTAACGAAAAGTGGCAAACAAACAGAAAAGGGAATAAACAATGTGTTGGGTCAATGTGTAGGTCTGTTGCAAAAACACAAAGGCAGTGGTGCAGTGCAGGCACAGTTCAAAAACACAAAGTACTAGCTAGTGAGGCACGTGCTAATTAGTGATCTTGAGAGGGTCGATCCATCTGAATGGGTAAGGTGGTAGGTGGGGTGGTGTTGTCTGCTACTGGAGTTGGTAGTGGGAGCTCGCTGCTCTCTTCACCATCGCTCTCTGGACCTGGCTGGGGTGGTAGGCTGTTGGCCTGTAATGGTGGACTGTTGGTCTCCAGTGATAGGCTGTTGGCCTGTAATGGTGGACTGTTGGTCTCCAGTTGTAGACTGTTGGCCTGTAATGGTGGACTGTCGGTCTCCAGTTGTGGACTGTCGGTCTCCAGTTGTAGACTGTTGGCCTGTAATGGTGGACTGTTGGTCTCCAGTTGTAGACTGTTGGCCTGTAATGGTGGACTGTTGGTCTTCAGTTGTAGACTGTTGGCCTGTAATGGTGGACTGTCGGTCTCCAGTTGTAGACTGTTGGCCTGTAATGGTGGACTGTTGGTCTCCAGTTGTAGATTGTTGGCCTGTAATGGTGGACTGTTGGTCTCCAGTTGTAGACTGTTGGCAGTTGTCAAGAGTGGTAAGCTATTGGTCCCCAGTGGCGTAATCTTGGTCGTCAGTGGTAGGCTTTTGGTCTCCAATGGTGGGCTCCTGGTCTCAGGAGAAGAGAGGGCTGTCGGCAAGCCTTGTGCGGCCTCTAGTCTGTGGAGCAGACACAGAAACTACTCACTTCATATGAAAATGTTTTGCACTGGGGGTTTGCTCTCTATCATGGTCACAAAACAGGTAATGATGCCCACTATACTGAAGCATAATAATTGGGCACTAGAATTATTATACGTCCATGGTCGCCCAGGGAGCTAAGAATTATAAACCACCACGGCACGCTCCCATTTTAGGTTCACAGGTAGCTAGTGGCTTGTGTCCTGCTAACCTATTGATCTTCTTCTGCTGTTCTCTCACAGTCTCCTTGAGAGATGCCACGTCGCTCTGAAGATTACCAATCATCCCTCGGCAGAGTGCCAGCTGCTCTATCAACTCCTTATTGTGATTTCTGTAGCTCTCATTTAGAGAGCCGAGGTCCTGCGCATCCGGCTCCACGCTGAAACTGGTCGTTAGTTCTTCGAGAACAAAGTACTCCGTCTCAAAGTTCTGGAGTTTCGACTCCAGGTCCATGCGGTGGGCATCTTCTAGAATGGTGGTCACGTGGTTGAGGACCAGTTGAGGCATGCTCTCTTTGAGGAACTCGGAGATTGACTCCATTGTGGTGCAGCGGAGGATGTGGGACTCGTAGTATCGCAGCAGAGCCACCGCCACCTGGACAGAAGAGGGTAGCTATCAAGATGCTATCCCATACCAGCTCTTACATAACATGATATAAGACAAAACCCTGGGATACAGAGAGTAAGTGCTACTAGCTATGTATGTGCGTATATAATATGTACATGAATGTAGGCATGACAATACAGTACATATATACCTTGAACACAATGTCAGGTCCATCAAGAAAGAAGAGATCTGTAAGGATGACAAACAGTTTGCTATTAATGCATATTCATCTACACCATAATGGACTCCATGAGCAAGTCCATAAGGCAAAGGATAACTATATAGGCTTGCTTAAATTTGCGGCTAACATTCTTCCTTTTGTGATTTTAAACATCTGCATTTGTATTGACACACATCTACTTTGGCCCCTATACCTCCCCAGAGGTAGTCCTATTAAATGTCACTGCGCCTGCTGCACACATGCACAGGGATGTCGATTGGTAAAGAATTAGGTGCAGCAAGATACACTATTCCATGAAGTTGGTAAGGACGCAATTGGGCGGATGGGATTGGTAAAGCAAGTAGCTGGTGCAGCGAGATACATTACATTACTATTCCATACTCCAACTATAGTCAAAGTATTCAGTATAGTTTGTTTGTCTCTTCACCCAATCCTGTATCTACACAAAATGCAAAATCGATGGCACCCTTGTTGAAGTTGGTAAAGGAACAGCGAAATTGAGGCGAGATAGGGATTGGTAAAGCAAGGTAGGGATAGGTGCAGCGAGATACATTACATTACTATTCCATGCTCCAACTATAGTCAAAGTATCCAGGATAGTTTGTCTCTTCACCCAATCCTGTATCTACCAAAAAATTCACCCATGACTCTGGCGACGAAGGCGATGGGGAACTGGGAGGAGAAGAGGGTGAGAAACCACGGCGCTGCGTAGTAGAACGGAGTAATCTCGTGCATTCCAAGGTGACTGTGGAGGGTGGGCAGGACGTCATGGAGGAGACGAGACAACTGGTACAGTCGTATCTGCACAGGGAGAGAGAAACGGGAGGCACCATTGCATACATACAATTGGAAACTTAAACATTCTAGATATGTACATGTAAACGTACAGATGTAAATACTACCACTATACCCACTACCATAGTGAAGGAAATTTTTTTCAAAGAAAATTTTTTCGTACACCAGCTCAAACATTTTGCTTCATAAAACTTGCTCTCTAAACTTCTTAAAGAGAGATAGGTACATACGTATGTATGTGTACCTGTAGTACGGAGAGGTCCCTGGAGTACACGTCTCTATAGCTGTAGACAAACATCATCTGACACAACAGTTCATAGGCCGACTCCTCGTCCTTGGTCTGTGGTCAGTCAAAAGTCACACGTAGTATCAGTTATGTGTAGCACCAGCTGAAACCCTCTGCCACTATGATACCATATATTATATATGTACGTTGTGGCAAATGCCCTCAGTTTTGCAACATCAGTAATGTGGCACCAGCTGAAACGTTCTACAACTATATTATGATACTATTATATATGTACATTGTGGCAAATGCCCTCACCCCAATTTCACAACTTGAAACTGTAAGTAAATAGTTTAGCGTGCTGCACTTGCCGGCTCATCAAGCTCTCGAAAGATTAGATGCACTTAGTACGAACGCACAAGTGCACGTTGACTAGAGAGGATTATTTCACCGATATACTCAAATGACTAGAGTACGTATTCCAGTGAAATAGAAAAATAGATGTCTACTAAATCTCGCATCGAGTTTACTACGTATGTAAGTGCCTGTGGTGGGAGATCTTAATGCAACCCGTGGATGCATAAAAACTGGTTTAGATTTGCACTTATATAAAAGCAGCACTCGCCATATTTAAGACTTGAACACTATGCACACTTCCTGAGCTCACGTGCATGAGGAGCATGCCGGCGATGAAACTGAGCCCCTGACAGTAGCCCGTCTCCACGTCCGAGACGGCGTAGCCATGGAGGATGTTGGCCAA